TTTAACCGCACCTACTCTTTCATTGTCTGAATTATTTTGCAGCCTTTTAACGTCTTTTCCTGGCCGGCTTGTGACTTGTCGTGGTTCAGGTGTTGATGGATGGCATAGTGAGGTCTGCAACATGCTTTCAATACTAATTCGAGAACCCAAGTTAGACAGCTCACTGAGTGCGGTTTCCTCGACTACACGTAGTTGCTTACGATGACTGCCCTCAGAGAACGGAGGGGATCGCAACGGTGATATTTCGCTACACGTGCATGTACTACTCTTCTCTGATATTGAGGAAGTCACACTTGAAGGCATTCTACTGACGTTTGACTGAAGACACTCATTAGAGCTTTCCAATATAGAGACCTCTGAGTTCGTTGGCGTAAGCCGTAGATTTAGCATCCCATCCTGCCCCCTTTGGCATCGCAGTGTAGGACCCTTAAAATTATCTACAAGGGAGTTTGAAACTTCAGAAGAAGCTGATGATGGCATCCGAAAGGAGCTAGATGATGACCTTTTATGAAATGTTCTAAGGGTAAATGCGTTATTTGCATTTCTGTTCATTTTTTTTGAGCGCACCGTGTGGAATAGGCTGTTGTGACCTCGTTTAGTCTGTAATAATCCATGGGAGAATGGTGATATAGGGTGTGATGGAGTAGCAGTGTGCCTTAATGTATTGTGGAAAGGCTGCCGCGTTGGGAGAGGAATGCCTTTCTGACTGCGAGAGAGAGCGAAACGCGAACATAATTTTTCTATCTTTTTATAGATTACAGGTATCTTAGTTAGTTGATGGCCACGCGAGATTGAAGTCGACATGTGTGTAGTCCCCCTTGCCACTACTGGTTTCTTAGTGGTAATTCTCGTACGATTTATGGGGATATTTGAAGCACTCTCATTCTCACTACTATCTACACGAGGCGGATACAGGTCTCCTGCATGTAATGGCCTTTTAATTTGTGTGGGGTTCTGCGAATCTGAAGGATACGGTCCTGTGAGAGACGGTGGAGATAGTGGATAGAGAGGATGCAGTTGCACACTTAAACCTCGAAGATATCCCCCAATGCGACCCAGGTGCCAATCGGTTTCTCTGGCATACTCTGTCACGCTTTTATCCATCAATACAGATTGGGTAGCACTCCAACTACTATTAATATTGACAGTAGCTAAAGGTTCCCAAGTTTGACTCAACCACACAGTTCACTATTTCTATTGATATAATGTCCTCAACAGGCCAAACACACTAAAGAATTCCTATAAAAATGAGATAATAGGGAATAATTTTACTGCGAAGGTACAATCTATCTAAATGTACTAAAGTAGAAATTTTTCCAGGACCTAGAATGTGTATCGGCCCTTGTTCCTTCATATAAAAATATTATGACGGCTTTGAAGTTATTTGTGTAAGAAATAAAAGGTAAAAGCGAATTAAAGTCGGGGATGCCAAAGAAAAGACTTGCCATTTGATAATTCTAGAAACTCCAATGCATACGAAAAAAAATGTGACGACAGTAAAAAAAAGGGAGAAGAGAAGCACACCTGGAGAGTATGTGCAAGAGAACCAATTAGATTTGCAGCTTACACATGCATAGTTCGACCGATAGGTTTATGTTCGGATTTTTATTGTTGTATGAATGTCTTAATTCTAATTTTTGTCTTTCCTCTATCATGTGTTAGAGTGGACTGACCTTATAAAAATTGTCGTATTACGCCCGCACTGGAATCCTCACATCAAGACGCTTTGACGCTCCAGAAGTTTCAACAGTCTATCTGCTTCTCTAGAAGTCGGAGTCGCTCCAGAAGCCCGTGAGGATCTTCGTTCACCGGCTCTGCCTCCAGCCTTTCCAACTCTGACTCAATATCTCGAAGCCTGTCTGAGGTTAGGGAACTCGTTGAGGTTGAGGATGCAGACTCGTTATCGACATCATCGTCTGCTTCACTGCTGCTGCTGCTGCTACTATCAGAGCTTTTATGACGTTTGGTGTGGCGTTCGCGACGCTTTGGAATACGAGGGCGCTTCCCCTCCTTCGACGAGGTCTTTACCCGAGGAGACCGCCTGCGTTCTCGCTTTTCACTTTGCTCTGGGGGGACCACTCGCCTTTCAGATGTTTTGGGGCACTCGAGGCCCATGTAGGCACATTCCCAGTAGGCTGGAGGAGGGTCGATACGCTGGGGCAGCTCGCGCCATGTGTCGCATCGATCACAGCACACCCAAAATACGGACTCATTTTTTTTTGCAGTAATAATGGGCGCTTCTGGACGTCGCTGCTTCCGCGTTTTGGTCTTATTGCCGCGATCTGGGTTGCCTTTCTTGGCATTTTGTTTTTTCGCATCATCCTGTGAATGGGTTGCGAGCCGAAGAACCCTGAGGCCTTCTTTGGTCTTCTCGACTATCGAAAGCTGCTTGACACCTTGATCGCGGCCAGGCTTTCGGGGATGTTGATGCGGTGGCTCGTTTTGATTTATTTTGGGGATTGGTCCGGTTTCATTGCATTTACCGACAGACAAGTATTCCTTAGCTACTTCGCTCGGCGGAAATGCCTCCGCCAGCTGCTCTGCTGTCCACGAAGGTCTTTTCATAGTGTGTGGTTTGTGTTGGTACTCTTGCCGCCGCCGCGTCCATGGAAAGGAGTCTTGTAGGGTTGTGCCTTCCTCTTCAGCTTGAGCATCACGGATAGCCTTGCGTGCGGCACTTACCAGGCGCTCAGCGCAACGCGCGAGCTCTGAGCCGATTCCATTGTAAAGGGCGCAGTTGTTCTGCAGGACGGTGAACCGTTCACGTAGGGACGTATAATTTATGAATTCATCCCCACTTGTCTTTAAGATGGTGCCCTTGCTTGAATGTCCTTTTTTTAATGCTTCGCCTTGACGCATGTTGTCCAGCGTCGCCCCACGCAGGACGTCTGCATATAGGCTGTAAAGACTAGCTGCATCACAAATCTTTCCATAGTATCCAGGTGCCTCGCATTCCAAGACGGGTAGCCGGAAGGCCTCTGCAACCGGGTGTACCCATGCCTCGTCTAGGACATGTAGCAGCCAAAGCATGCGCTCAGGGCTCGGAACAGTGGCCACGTGTACGTCATCGATTTCCCTAATTTCTCTCTCCAAAAGCCTTTCCGTATGAGCGTCCGAGCGTTCATAAAGCTTCACAAGCCCATTTCCAGCATCGATACGAACCCACCTGTTGACATTCATGTCATCATCATCCACGGAAATCCGCGTGATCGCCACAAACGCATCGCGGCAGCCTTCTTCAAAGACCCAGGGCCGCTGCAGCGGCCCACAGAGCGTGTCCTCTCTCTGAGCGTCACCGACGACCGTAGCCTCTGTGCTAGGCGCAGCAGCACCACTGTCACCGTGCAAGAGGAACCCTGCCATAAGCCGTGCGACTCGTACGGATTCATACCACGAGGCTAACCCTACGCGGGCGAAGTGCAGCTGCTGCGCGCGATTTTCTTCCTTCTGAGACCTAACTTGCTGTGAGCTTAGCTTCCGTTGGCGTCCTCTCCCCCTTGAGCTCCTCGTTTCCTGTGAAGGGCCAGGAAATAGGCCCTGAGAGAGGACCAGCGAATCCCAGTGTTCCTGCCACCACCCCTCGAAGGCTTTGACCATTGCTCGGTAGAACACACCAGCAGAGTGCTTGTCTAGAGGTCGTAGAGTAGGTTCAAAGATATGCCTAAAACATCCATTGATGTCCACCTCTAGAAATCGACTCCACCAGCCAGTTGCTGCCAGACTATTGGTATCTTTTTCCTTAACAACACCATGTCGTGCTCCACATGATAGGTGTAGTTTCAGCCGAACCGGGCAGCGGGGCCGTAGTGCTGTCGAGTTGCCGTCCGCATCGTCAACTTCATCCGTTTCCCTAACATTACTTACCTCTTTAACCAACCCTGGCGCAGATGCCAACGACTTTGAGTGAGCAGTAGACGATAATCTGCAGCCAGCATCGCCGTTCTGAGGTCCGATCCCACTCGCTGTGGTTAAGTGGACTTTCTCTTCTACAGTAGAGCAATCCTCGTCTGAATCTAGAAAGGGTAGCGACTTCGTGGTGGAGTGCACTAGGGCCGTGCTTGGCGTTAAGACTCTATGTCTTTTGTCGTTATCATGTTCTAGGGTAGCTGTGGGGAGCTTGCTCTCTCTATCCGTATCCCCACGGAGGAGGAGGAGACGCCTTACTGGGGCCCGTCGTATTTGTTGTGATGGAGATGATAAAGCGACATATCTATCATCACTCATCGCACAATGGGTGTGCGTTTCGGAGTATTTTATGCTTTGTGAGGCGTTTCTAAAGGTAAAAGTGCAGAAAGAAAAGGATACTCAATAGGTAAGCAAAGCAATTTCCAGGGAATAAGAGACACGAAGAGAATGATACAATAGAAACTCGTCACACACCTTCTTTGAATTCTGATAAGAAAAGGCCACATACTTCCTACACGATGTAAGGGCAGATACAATTACCCAAATCAAAAGAAGGTCCACATAAAATTGTAAAAGAATAAAATAAATTCATGAAGGTGGTGATATAGATCATGCACAATACATACACAACTGCACATGCAAAACTAAATTCATAGCAAATAAGCAGTACGAGGCAATAACCCGTACTTATAGAAGATAACTATGTCAGGAGAAGATCAGCGAGGGTGAAACAAGTTAGATGAACATGAGCGTTGTATATCTCATATTATGTGTTTCCCTCTTTCCCACTTCAGGGTTATAGTACCTTTATTTAGCTGAATCGGAGATGAGTGGATATTTCCCCTTTACCACATACTCTGAGTAAGGCATAGTCACAGTTAGCATCCTAATTTTTTTTGGAAAATTTTCATAAAAATAGCAAAAAGGGAAAAACAATACACGTTGAGATGGATTAGTAATTCCCATTCAATAGAATAACCAAAACGGTTGCATATAAACCATTACTGGAGAGAATGCTCTTTCCATGAGCTCTTCATTCCTATTGAGAGAGAAAATTTGCCATCTCGAAGGTCTCCATCGTGTACCACATCTATATAGGTTTTTAATGCAATAGACAGGTTTATAAGGAAGGATATGCATGCCCTCAATGCTTGTTGATACTAATAAATAAACAAAAGCGGGAAGGAGGATAAATGGCAGTTTAAAAATTAATACTCCAAGATGACGGCTTTACTAAAGAAAAATTTGTGATCCACAATTTATTAACTGTAAGGCAAGAATATAAGAAAGCGAAGAAGGAGGAAACACAAAAAAGAATGAGACAACGTGAAACATTTTCCTTTAAAACGTTTGTCCACCTGCAAATACGTTTACACCAACGTCGTTTAATAGTTATGTATCTTCCAAACAAATGCTCAGGACGATGAGGAAAAGAGCAATCCCCAGCAACAGACAAACATTATAACGATCACGCCAAATGCAATTTTTCTGTTCTTTGGTAAAAATTCCAACTCGCCATACCTAGGATGATAATATATATATATGCCTAGACATATCGAAATCGATATAAGAATGTATAAACGCAATGATAGTAACACTGTTAATAAGACAATGCCAACGAGTGGTTGACCCTACGCTACCATAACGGTAAAGCTGAGGGAATTTATTGTTATCTTTGACCATGGAAGAATATTGAAAAGTGTGTATGATGAACCAATTGAACGATAGAGCCACATACGTGCACTCCAATGTCCATATAAAACACCAAAGGAAAGAAGGACTGACCCCAAAGGGGGAGATACCTCCTCTTCCGTTCTTTAACAGAATTGGTTTGGTGGCAAGTGCGGACGATCTTACCTTTATCCCTCTGTTCTCCTCAATGTTGATAGTCACATTCTATCTCTCCGGATATCTCGAAACTTTTTAAACTCACCCTTTGCTCTTTACTTCCATCCCCTTCGATCAGGCATATACACTATGGGATCAAGGAAATCAAGGTGTCCAATGCCTTAATATACCCCTCGTCGAAAGCATACACCGCGTCTGGGTCTTTGCCTTCGACAAGCTCCCATCTTTCGTAGGTGTAAGCAAAGTCAACCATGATAATTCGCGCCGTCTCGACGGCCCGCACTGCATCATAAATAAACAAAAGCGATGAGGTGTAGAAGCGAAATGCTTTTTGGCATTGCATTGTCTCGCGGAGCTCCTCGATATACCGGCGGAACGCGCGCCCGAGTTCCCGACTATGCAAAAGGAAGTTCGAAATTTCCGTCTTAACCTGACTTAGGGACAGACTACGGCAGTACAGTTTTGTTTTGGTCACGTACTTGTGACGCGCTGCGTCCCACATTTTTATCCCAGCCAGCCGGATGTGATGTCGTGCCGAGGTCGAAAGCCTAGACTTATACTCCTTGCTCGCCTTCTTGACAGAGGATGCGTTGAGGCCGTACTGTCGACTACCTATCTTCACGTCTAACACACAGGGGTACTTGAAGCCGTAGCACACGTCTTCAAGAACGATCATACGATACGCCTTTCCTTTTTCCTCGTCCTTTTCGGTATCATCACACTCAGTGCTGTTCGGAACTGACGTGTGAATTACCCACCCCGCATTGGCCCAGTTTCGCGGCAGCTCCATCTTAAGTTCTGTGGATGGCGAGGAAATCTTATAATCGTTGCTGCTTAAGTCAATGGGCGCCGACAATGCAGCAGGGGGGTCCATGCACGAGGAGCAGCCCCCCTGGTAACTGTTCACCCTCGCAGATGATGTTTTCGCTGAGACAGCAGGTGATGCCGTTTGGATGCCCTCCTCATGGTCCGACTCAGACAAAGATAGCTTGGGGACGTGCTGCGTGGCAGTCGCCGCTTCGATTCTTATCTCCCCTCCATCGTCGAAGGGGGGATCGCTACGTATGAGACTTTCGCCCCCTATTCTGTTCTCAAGAGTGTGCCTTTCTGTAGAAAGAAGCGAGTCTAGACCCCGGTGGCGGCAACACGCCGCGGTGGACTGTCGCTTAATTAAATTACAAACCCCATAAAAGCGTGATACGAAACGGGCTAGCAGCCTCAAAGAGTGATGCCTTTCAGTATATCGATTCTGTTCGTACTCAGCCGCTGCATCAACGTGGCCTTCATCATTTCTAGCACCTGGGTTATTCAAAGCAGCCATATGAAGTGTTGATCCACTGTTCTGCCGTTGTTCTTGTTCTATTTGATTGCTGCTATTATCATGAAATTCGCAACTTTTATTTGCATGAAGCTCATCATCATTATTGAGGCCACCAGCCCGCCACCAACACATGGCCGCCCTCTGCATCGATTCTAGCACCTCGGTACCTAAACTGGAGTCTTGACAATCGTCTTTGTTTAGGTTAGCCATCGAGCTAGGGTTTATGCCCAACACGACTTTTAGACGTGAATTCTCATAAGCACCATATTGCTTCCATGAACCTTCGCTCCACGAGTGCTCTGGGCAACACTCCAGTGATTTGCGTCGAACCCTCTCCTTAACCAGATCTACCTGGTACTCTGCGAGCATTTCGTAAAAGTTCTCTTCCCTCCATGAGCAGGACTCCTTCATGAAGACACCTCCGTGAGCGATTGAAAAATGATGTCCACCAATCGAATTGGTCGCATCAGCTAACTTTTGGGCATCACAACAGTTTGCATGACAGCAAAGAAATACAACGCACGTGCTCTTATTCTCAGCAGCAAAAAAAGGTAGCGGGGAACGCTTCAGGTTCTCAGAAGGGAACTGAAGCTGATTTGGTAATAGACTGTGCGTATTGGCGTCAGTGTTATCGCGCTTGCACCCTTTTTTACTATCCCCTTCGTGCTTTTTTTCGTCAGTTGAAAGCTTCCCGGTAACGAAACAATGCTTGCTTGAATCTAGAACTTTGTATTTTCCGTCGTGCCCCAACGGCAGTGCGTCATTGTGGGTTAGCTGATCATCACTGCGGTTGTCCGAGAAGCTCAACAGGTTCAGCATACTAAAAGCTTTGTGGCTTGATGAAAGGTGGCTTTCAGGGGCACGGCAGCTGACCTCGGGTCTGTCGAGGTCTGCTAAGTTATCTGCAGTGGTGCTGAGCCCTACAAGAGCCTCAGTAGATAAAAGGTTATCTACATAAGGAAACCTTGGGAGGTTCTGATGCTCTGCCTCCATGCTGTCGTTCTCCCCTCTGCTAGCGAGGGTAGATGGAAGCTTGCTACAAACACTGCCTTTCACTGGGGATGCACAAGCCCCAGAGTGTGTCCCATTGACCGTGGTTGGTACTAATGACTCTAATGTAGACTCATCGCTAGCGATTTCAAGTGAACCTTCAGAAGCCTTTTCCTTTGAGGCTATCCGTTGGGGTGGGCCGGTATTTATTGCACCAAACGCCCACATTTTTCTTCGACCAATGGTTCAACCCAGAATGCTAACGAACAAAATTGTAACTGTGTATCGGTTGAAACAAATAAAAAAAGAGATAGTTACGTGATACTTCTATCCTACTTATAAATTAGTTTTTAGCTCTGTACTCATAAATATTCACATATGAATACGCGTATCTTGTATGAGTATTTGCAAAAGAATATATGAAGTTGTCTTAATCGACCCGAGTACACGACACAACGAAACAGTAAATGAAACACTAGAGGCAGAAAGGGGAACTAAAAAAGTGACGCCTTGCTTAGAGTAGGCTTTTTGAATTTAAAAAAGAATATACGTACTATATATTGATATGTTTCCTTTAAAAGAAGGAGAACGAAAACACGCGATTCTTCTCAGAAACTGTTTAGCTTAACGTGCTCAGTGCTTTTGAGACAATGTAGCTATGTAAACAAAAAAGCACAAAGACAATAGCGAACAGTCGAAATCTTGACAACGGATGGGTATGAAAGAATGCGTGCTCATACACCAATACAATAAAAAACAGGAGCTATTTTATTGTATTTTATGCTATATCATTAATTCAAGCGAAGTGATTAAACGTGGGAAAAATGCCAACTAGCAACTTTAATCTAATAATGAAATTATAATATTTTCAGCCAAATATAAGAGGGAAAAAAAGCTCACTATAATGCACTATATATATGTATATATGTATATATGTAAGTTGTGTGAATATACAGTTTATAAAACAGGAGTCAAATGTATATAATGTATATATAATTAATATGTCACTGTGTATTCCAAGGCTATAAAGAGATAATGCAAAGAAGAATACGATGCAAAGTGCACCATGAAGTCGAATAATTTGTCCATAACGAATAGAAACTAAGATCAAGAGTGAGGAAAGCTTTTAATGACATCAGCACTGGAGATTATTTTGATCACTGGCTAAAAACGAAATGCCAAAATGTGGATATACATATGGAGAGATGATATCAATAATGGAAACACATCTCGGGGGAAAAAATAGATACGTTTCTTTCTCATTTTTTTTTTTATGAGCGTAACGAGACATGACCTTTGGAACATATGCTAAAAAGATAAGACTAACAGACGTACCATTGATCCCCACCATTGGCTTCCCTACTTGGAGGTTATTTCCAATACTTTTTACGATAGTTATTTGATATAAAATCTTCGAAGAAAGACGCCTAGGGACGATTATTTAGCGGATACGCATGCTCACGCATCCCCATTTCGGGCACCTGTGTATCGCATACTTTATCGATCCAGATTAACCCCGTGGGCGGCCGCTGCACATGCGAGCGTGGCCTCAAGGAAAACCATGGCATCCCGAAGTCGTTCCCTGCCGGAGCATAAGCTTTTGATGTGTTGGTAGACCACCTCAGCGCTTTGATCAGGGCTCAGGCCGTTGTTAAGGCGAGGGGTTGCGCGATGTCGCACGGGGTGGGGAGCCCCTGCAGGGCCCTTCCCGGAGGGCGGTCGCGGTGCTTCCCCTGAGGATTCACACGGCATATGTAGCGCGAGCTCCGTCAAGCGGATGGGGCCGTGGCACGGGGGGAGGGTCCGGCGCTCCGACGAAATCGCCCCCCCCGCGTCGTAACTCCTACAGCCCGAAGGCGTTTCTGCCACTGAGGCCGCGGCCCCGTCGTTCGAGTGCGCAGGCATGCTCGCTGCCGCGACTCGCGACATTAGACTGAGCTTCTGGGTGGCGTCCACTGTCCGGGTGTACCCCGACACGCGCGGATGACTCGATCCCACAAGGAGGGGATTGCCCACCGAACAAAATCTCCATTGATGGCGTATAGCGCACCTAGAACGGGCGGGGGCCACAAGCGTGGGGGCGGTACCCGGTCGTCGTGAAGGTTTTTGAAAGCTCCACTGGTCCTGCAAGGATTCTTCTTTCCTCTCACAACGTTGACGTGGGTGGCTACTTTTCTGGCCTTCTAGAGTACTTTCCATGAGTCTCTCTCTCGACGAGGTGACGCGAACCAAGCCACTATGAGGCCGCATATGGTGATCTAGGTACGGAAAAGTTGTGTAGAGTTGTGGATAGGAGGGCTTGTTGATAATCAGGGTGAAGTTTGATGCTTTTTGCGCGCGGAGTTCATGCGTCTCTGTCCACCATTGTCCTGGGGAAGACTCTGCTTGCTCCGACATCAGGGCTTGTGTTTCGGACGCTGGCTCCAGGGCTTTATGTATGTGGTGAAATTTATTATATATGTAGCTTTTGCAAAATATAATTTATTTAATATTTTTGATTAGATGAAAAGTATATATCGGGACACGCAAAATTTTTGGCTTAGTGTCAAATGACTATGTCGCGTCGTCAGTCACCTTGTCTTTAAGTGACCACAGCTAACAAAAACTGAAGCGCGAAATACACACAACAAATTGATTTTTTTGGATGAAAAGTATCCCAAGCGCAACACACGCTACACGTCAAGAATGGAGTCATACTTCTTTTTGCTTTAATTATGATTTAGGAATATTTTGCTTTCCATTTTAGGGATGAGGGTGGGGGATGAACCGAAACGGTAAAATATCCAGGGGACTACTGGTACATTGCTTGAGAGGAGAAAGATGCTCAAAAAGAAGGAAGCTTATATTCCCTGTGTTGTTCTTCCTCAAGCAAGTCCGTTTTTGATGTTGGGCATGCCGTGCTAATGCACGTAGCTGAGATCTCCTCTATGCATAGTGACCATGACTGTCACAGATCTGCGTAATCACACGGATCAGAATAAAGCACTGATGGGGGAGCTATGGGGGAATGCGCAACCCCAGGCCTCTACCCCTTCTCAGGGCGCTACCTGCCATGATTATTTCTATACAAACTAACTCGAGACGGAAAAAAACCTCATGCGTTTGCTGTCTTCACTCAGCACAGGGTACCAAATTCCGGCGACATCATAACGTGGTCGGCTTTTATCATGGAATTGATGTATCGAGTTTGCGTCGTATTCTTCTGCTCCTCACGGATAAGCCACACAAATAAGGATCTATCCCCATATTACGAGAAAGTTATGACGCGATATGTATTTATACACCTTTCATTTTAAGAATGAGCGTGTATCCTTTTGCCACAGGGTCGAGTGGAACATCGAATCGAATGACACTTTAATGAGGGTATACGAACAGCGAGTGGTAGTAAGTTTTCATTCAGTTTGTTAGAGCTGATTCTAATGATCGCTATTGATAGAACCCACTGCATCTTATGCGCGTATGATAGAGGGCAATAGACTCATGTCTGTAGTCTGACATCCATGTTTCCATGCATATTTAATACAGTGACTTGGTTCGAACTATAACTAAAATACTCATGCAGAAACCCTTTGCGGACAATTTATCATCATTGCTTGCTGTATTGTTGTCTATTCTTATGACAGATTGGGAATTATCTACTCCTTTTGAGCTTATTGACTAACGATTAGTGGTGTATATCGAAATCAGATCAAAATGAATGGTAATAGATACAAACAAATGAGAAAGGTGGACTAAAAAAAGGTATCAAAACACTAACCAAGCGCATACAGACGAAAGCTCCCAACACTGGATAGGATAAATATGTGCACACGTTAAAGATACGGCAGAATACGAGCCAAACCAGTATTTTCATGTTAATAGGTAATATAAATCATAACCGCAATGAAGTAACACCAATGCGTACACTTGTCCAATCTCTTTCCCTGACACACAAATAGGTTAAAGGGTAAAATCCAATGCGCCACGATAATTTTTTTTTCGTCTCATACTTACTCCTTCTCGATCATCTTAGCACATAACACATCCTGTAAATGATAAGGAAAAAAAACGCGGATACAAGGAGAGGGGGGAGGGAACCTACTTGTTTTATTAGGAGATCCTTACTTTAGGTCCTATTGCCCCTAAGTGTGTCGTCCTTACTATGACGTCTCGATTTCGCAACTATGCGATACATTCAAGTGCGCACAAAAACGTTACATTTCCGTGATATTCGTCTTTTCCCTGAGTCAACATGATGGTCTAAACGAAGAGAATAAGAGCTTTAATTAAAACGACTACAAAATAGAGCTCCCCTCCTCTCCTGAACACTGTTCTAAACATATTCTTTGTTTCCTTTCTTGACTGAACTGAGGTTCAATATTTTCACCTACTTATTGATTTTGAATCCTTTTTCTTCATCATTCATTTTTATCCTATCCTGTCCACACCCTTTCGCTCTCCTTCAATCTAGCGCTAGGACACAAGCAGAAATGACGACTACCAATCTTTCCCTCATCCCAACTATTGAAGAACAATTTTCACAACGTCATCAATCAGCATTTTCACCTTCCTCATGAGGCTTCAAGGGCGGCCTCTTGCTGGCGTTGCCGCTCATCTTCTGCCGCCTCCTCAGCGGCACGCTGCCTCTCAGCCTCCGCTAACAGAGGCTTGAGGTCCTCCGAGGTCATGATATGGAAGTTGGGCACCATGCTTACGTGCTCGCGGTAAGGGTCGAGCAGGCGCTGCTCGGTGGGGGCCGGCACCTTGCGAAGCACCGCCACCTCCACCCGCTCCATGCTGAGCTTGACGTTGTCCATGGTTTTGCTCATGACACGGAGGCCTAGGAGGATGCCCTCCGTCAGGGTCATGTCCGGCTTCCAGTCCTTCTTCAGCATGGCCTGGGCGACCTTGTCGCTCTGGCCGATTGCACAGGCCAGCCACGCGCCGTAGTCCCCGCTCGGCTCGGTGGAGTAGAGCTGGTAGCCGTGGTAGCGGTCCCATCCCACGATGAGAAAGGACACCCCGAACGGCCGCACCCCGCCGTACTGCGTGTAGAGCTGCTTCTCGTCGCAGATTGCCCGGCAGAGGTCCTCGGCCGCCATGGGCTCGTGGAAGGTGTAGTAGTGCCGCTGGGCGGTCAGGCGGGCCTGGTTGATGAGTGCATACGCGTCTGAGGTGACGCCGGCGACGCTGCAGCCGAGGTGGTCATCGATCCGGAACACCTTCTCACCACTAATATCCTTATCCTGGGGATTTTCATCGTCAAAGAGTTCGTTTTGCAGCATGCGCTCGGCTATCAAAGCGATGCCCTCTGCAGTGCGCACGCCAATCACTGTGCCGGCTTGCCGGGTCGCCTCTGATGCGTACTCCACCTGATAGAGACGCCCCTCCGGGGAGAACATGGTGGTACGCGTATCATAGCGAGAAGACATTTAATCGGTATCGATCTGGAGAAGATTACCTACCGTAAGGAGAATCTGGGCTTATTGTTTGACGTGTTTAGTCTAAGATAGCTTTGGAAGATCAATGATTAGGAGAGAAACACACATTAGTAAGATTCACAACTGCTCATAAAGAGATTTGATTCATAGATTTGTCCTTTTAAGGAATAAAAAAGTTATTCACAACGTAATGATCGCTCTGCTAAATAGATGAGCACATCGGAAATATATCATTCAAAAATAAACAATAACAACCAAGTATGACACACACACACAGAGACAGAGTGTAATTGTGATTCATCCTTAGACCATTAAGAAGGAATGATGATAATTAAACAGAGTAATAAAGGCGCAAAATGCACATGCACAGCGTGCTTCTCTTGAAAAGCACGCCTTTAGGAGGAATATAACACTCAATTGTAATCTTTCCACAATAAAGCATTTTGAACTTCTCAAGTTGTTTAAACGCAAAGTACCTCAAAAAATTATTTGATGCATCGAATACTAGTTAGTAGGCACGACGCTTAGCGTTTCAGTTCTCTTGTTACCCATCTTTTCAGTTAGAGAACCTACTAGTCACCCCATGGTTGACCTAGTATTTGACTTTTTTCCTCTTTTAAGATAAATTCCGCTTCGACGAGACGCCATATTGCTGTGAGATCCTCTATTGAAACCCCAAAGTATTGGGCATTGAGATGAAATGCCCGCCGGCGGGCCTCTTCTATGATGGATAGCTCACCATGGCATTTAAACAGACTTGCAGTCATGGAATCATATAAGAAGCAGCGCACAGTGGAGGAAGCCTGCAGAACGTAATTTTCCACTTTGCGTATCTGTTCCTTGGAGACCTCGCTACCAACTTCTGCTTCAGTGACGGAGGGGACTCCTGGATCGGCAGAAACCGACCTCTGTCGCTCCAACAAAGCTGTGGAGCCCCCTGCCCGCGAGGCATTTGACCCTTGATCATCACAACTCCCGCTTCCTGAGGAGATGGTACCACCCTGCCCGTCCTCCTGCAACAAATGTTCCAGGATATGGTTGCGAAAAATTGCCAAGTCATCAGCCTCTGCCATGTATTGCAGTGCAATCGACAGAAGTGCATCGTCTGAGGTTAATAAGGCGGAGCATCCCGCAATCCAATCCCTTGCCATGGTGCTTCCACCCGAGGCGTATACCAATGCCCGACAATATAACTTCCGAGTGTTTTTGGCAGCCTCATCTACAGCATCGACTGGGGCACCGAAGAAAATACCCTCATCAGTGCCAAATCGAAGGCGGCTGATCCACTGGTAGGTTGTCTTCGAGAAAAAGCGCCTGGGATTGCAGGGGTAATGACACGATGGGAGACCCCCCGAGAAGAGCTGTGCAGCGGAGGTACTTCTGTGCAAGGGACTCTGAGGCATCCTAAGGAGAGATCTTAATGGTTTGCATTTAGCTGCGGAAACCCTATAGTGGTGCATTCTTCCCTCACATACGTATCTATACAAATTATATGCAAGCCTACTTTTTGCTGCCGTTTACGCTTGTATTTCTATAAATGTATATTGTTCACTAAATGTAATCAAATAATCCGGAAAGCGTGTTCCACCCCTTAACCGTGATGCCTTAAGCAACGTGTTTTCTAACACTGCTCTTGATATATTTTGATTACTAAATACAAGCTCACAGAAAAGTGGTCTGCAATTTTTTAGCTCCAAGTTCTAAACCAGCTAGTCAAAAAGTAGAAATCAAGTAAATAGATATCGTATTACGCACCGAAATTTGAAGGACACCATTCAAGAAATAGGTGTATGTGTCACTGTCTTTTTAACGCACAGACAGCTAAGGGAGTCAACAGGGTAAAGTAGTGAATCCATTGGGAGATAATTTTTCACTCAGAAGATCATAGTAAGCATAACAGCATATGAATTCCAATCGAAAAGGGAAGATAAAGAAGAAATGCTATTACTAGTATACCTAGACCACTAAACATAGGTCACTATATTTCCCAATCATAAAGCATAGAGTGAACTGTCTGTATAACCTTTCAGCTTCCTAGAAGCTGCACAAAATGGAGCTAAATGTATGCGTGTTTTTGTATGTGTACTAACCGGAAGAATAATATGCATATGTTCATTTTTAACGACTCGTACAGTGCTCACATCAAACTATTTTGCTCCATAGATCTCATTGACCCCCTTCAGGTTGGGCTTTGCTTTCGCCCTCACCTGTTGAGTGTGTTGTGGGTTCGAGTGTAGGGTCACTTATTGAGCACAATTCCAGCATCTTGTACACGTTAACGGGGCCACTGAAGTTTAGCGCCGGGAGTGATGACCATGCACACGCGCGGATCGCAGTCTCAGCGACCAATTCCACATCTACAGGCGGCGTGAGCAGCTTACCACCCTTAAAGGTTTTAAGCAGGCGGTGAAGTGGGTAGCCTGTTAGGCCAAGTGGCACTGGGAGGACCTTTTGCGTTAGGGGAAGGGTTGCGTATCGTGTGCCGTAGATAAAACCAGGCCGAAGCACAACACCACATTCCCCCAAGTTCTTGAATACCTCCCGTTCGACACTTTGCTTTCCCTCAAAGTATCCTTTCAACAGGTATTGGCTACCAAAAATACTGGGACAGTATTCATTGAACGGCTCCGCAGAGACATATACAAACTTTTTGAGATTCGGCAGTAATTTTGAATCCCACACACCATGGAGGATGTTTAGGTTGGCTTCGCCATTCACCCTTTTCGCTTGGTCATAATTCAACGTCAGGAGACCAATACAGCTCACCACTACCGTCGCGTCGGCATGCTCTCTCAGCATGTCCTGGACCTGTGAAGGGTTGGTCGCATCAACGCTCGTGAAACGCAGCGCATCCGTCGAGCCCGCCTCCGCAAGGGGGCTAACAGAAGTGGAGGTGACCTCTGCCGCGGCTTGGCGGCCCCCCACCACCCCCACCCGCGTCGCCAACGCCTCCAGCGGAGTGTGCGGGGTGGGGGCGCCGTGGCGTGTGGGGACGACCACCGTGTAGCCCCGTAGCAAGGCCTTGCGGAGGACTTGGAAGCCCACGAACCCCGTCCCACCAAACAAGATCAGCTTTTTGTGCATGTTGTTCTTTTTTTTTGCGTGTGTGTTTGTGTGAAAAGACACAGCAAGGGAGTTGCACTGAAGTAGTGGGGGCAGAAATTCCACGTGGATGCAGATCCAATAGGATATCGGTATGAAGGAATAGATGTTGAGATGCTAAGTTCACATGCGAAAAGCTCTTTGGGAGAGAAAAATATACAATCATATCAAGGATATATACGCGCACATATCTCTGGTTGAGAAGTATTGATTTGTTCGAGATGGTCTGCAGTAACGCGGAAAAAGATCCTTTTATGGTATATATATTTACCCTCTTTAATTATTTCGTGACCGAATAATCTTGGGAAGAGTTTTGCTTGAACTAAATACTTAGCCTTGTTGCTAGTTCAGCCCTCTTTTACTTTTGTAATAGTAGTTAACTGAGATGTGCATTTCCACCCAACCTTCACTGTTGTCAGTACGATGCACTGTGATTTAGGACACCAAACAAATTCAGTCTGAGTTATTTTTGCTCCCACGCGCAGTATATATCCCTCAGATTAAAATATAAAGAAACATTCTGCATCCTCGCACGTTATTAATAACAGATGTTTTCCATTTTTTTTCCACCGTAACTACTTGCTTAACGGTGTGTTATCTAAAGCAATAAAATGGGAGCACTAGGTTGCCCTTTTTCTCCAATTAATAAAAATGGCAAAGAAACGGAATATTTTTTATGAAAAAAATATGCATATATATATATATATATATATGCATACAGTATATATACATATACACTGTTTAGCTTCCGTTTCGTCAACCCCTTGTACAGCTCCAACACTAAAATCTTGAAGATAAACACCGACACCACGGGATGGCATGAGAACAACCCCTAGTACAATCAATACATTTTATTTAGTGTTCTAAAGGAAACAGGCAACTTCGCCGTCAGGGAGATAGATTACCTCAGCAGAGTTAATTTGGATTTATGTCATTAGATGACATATTTTAAGTCTACCACGCGCCAAATCGGGTTCCACCCATTCGAAAGCACCCTACATCATCTCTACAGTGAAGCGAAACCGAACTCGCAGATAATTATTCAAAAGAGTGCTTCCTCTTTCTACCAAAAGAAAAAATACAATGCACTACAGTTTGATTTTAATTTGACGGAATACATAGGAAGAGGTTAATACACACATAAAAATATATAGGGAACTATGCACGCAGAGACAGCGTGGTCAGGTGTGACAGTTTTAAACCCCAATGGGAGCAAATCACTCTATCAATTGGAAAAAAACATGTGATGCTGTCTTATAAGACATCTACAGGCTGAAAAATCATGACTATTACGCCCTCGTACAATCTCTTCCTTCTGCGATCAACTTCCCATGGGAATGGCAGCAGGACTGCTAGCCATTTTGAGGTGTTTTTCTTCGACACTTTCAGGGGAATAACGGCGACAGGGCGGCTCTGTGTCGTCATCGTTGTTTTGATTCATATCAACGATCCCGTTTCTGGGCCGCTTGTGATCCTCCTTACCTCCCGTGTCTTTATCACCCAGTAAAATTCCATCAATGAATTCATTCAGAGGCTGGATAGTCTGAAGGCCCTCTACAAGGTCGTAGTGCAACGGTGATGCAGCGTTCGTAGTGGGGCTGGCGGCCTCAGGTATCGCTTGCTTTTCTGCCGGTTCCACGAGCTGACTAAAGGAGCACCCATATGGCGACAGGGCGACACCCCCATTACCACTGCCGCGGGTCAAAGACTGTGAGTAAGTCCCTGCAGCGCCGACCTGCGAGGGCTCCTCGAGGCCGTTGTACTCAATAAATCGTGTGCGCGCAACACCCCCTGGGCCGTAGTCCTCCGAAAATTGGCGTACTAAGCTCAGCACGCTGACCTTGGCCTGGGGGTAGTCAGTGGGCAGGCGCCCGTCATAGTAGTCAGTACGATGGAGGTACTGCCAAAGGTTAATTCCGGCTCGATGCAGTTCCTCAAGAAACCCACGTTCCGCCTCCTCAGCACGGCTGCACTCCGCGCTACTGTGGTGGTAGGAGTCACAGAAGAGGCACACGTCTGGAAAGAGCTCATCTCGAAGAGGCGCGAGTCGAGCCAACAGATCCCCAGAATTGATGTAGAGGAGGAAGCCTTGCACCGCGTCAGTACTATACCGTGCGGCGGCCAGAGGAATTTGTGCGTCATCAAGCTCCTTAATGGCTACCCAATAACTCGAAGGGTAGGCGTTGCTGCCGGCACCAAGCAGCTGGTAGGCCTCATTAAGGCGGCGCCACTCCCTTTCTTTGCGTTCCATTTGATAATTATGCAGACGACGCTGCACTATTTCTGGATTGAGACGCATATCAACAAGTTTAATATTTTCATCTGCTAATACACGCTTGGCTAAGGTCACACAAGCAGACGTGCGGTGGCCCACACAGGCACCACATTCCTTGCATATTGGTACTCTGTGCTCGTGAATAAGCCTTACAGCCAGCATCAGCTCCTTCTTACGGAATTCTTTTGCCTGCCGGTCGTCCTGATCGATCCGAATAATGGCGTCCCCAACCTTATGAGATTCACTGGAAAAGCGTATGAAAGCCAGATCGTACTCCTCCAAGACCAGGCGTGCCACCTGAAGATCCCATGGTTCTTTGACAGCTGATGTGCATGCGGCCGTGCTATGGAACGGTTCCAAGCATATCCGGCAGATGCTATCCTTGAGGGGTGCCATCTCAATAACCTCCTCTGGTACGCGTGCGTACAGCCCGGGGGTGTATTCTGCCGGGAGTGAGCCATCAATCAGGCAAAAGAAGAAGGAGCTAGTTTCTTTGATCTCATTCAAGTTATGTTGCCCCCGAGACGGGAGCGCACGACGGCGAAACATCGTGTCGAGAGTCTCAACGCTCCGCAGAAGCTGATCCCACTCACGGAATCGACGGTTAGACTTGAAGAAGTGCTCCGCCTTCACTAAAGCCGGGCTGTAGACATCGTCACTGGGCTTGCTAAACACGGTCTTGGATGGCATCAGTTGATAACCTGCATGCAACCAAAGCGCGTGTCGGTCGAGTGGGCCCGTGATAGCACCCCGCACGCGATCAAAGGCCGTGAGCAGGTCGTCATAGGGCCTCTCCTCCATGATGAGCTGCGTCACACGGTCGAGGACTACCGCGGGCCGCAGCGGCAGCGCGATGCCGTGCCGGTAAAGCTTGTCCACAGCCGCCATGTAGGAAAGCGCCTGCAGGCTGTCCTCAGCAGGGGTCTCCGTCGAAATTCCCACGCGACGCTGTAACCTCTCAGTGCCGCCGTCACCGTGCAGATGTGGGGTTTTAATAAAGGGAATTTCGCACGGACAGCGTGCCTCAGTGTGGCGCCAGGTATCGCACAACCTGCAGCCACCTTTGGCGCTAATCAGTTTCCGAAACCACTGCCGCACTGTCGGATGCATCGCCGAGTCCAGCGCGTCAATCGCGGAAATGCTATCTGGAAGCATTATCGACGGCGAGCATACAGAGTTCCTTTTGTCATCTCCATCGTTTCCTGCTTCAGCCTCTTTGGATTGTGAATTCCAACCGTAACAATGTAGCATATGCAGAGTAATCCCTGGACGTGAAGTGTGACGCCGAAGCCGCCAGAGACTGTCCTGGAAAGTGTTCGGTATTTCCAAATACTTCGCCCCTTGCGCAGAAAGGTAGTTGCCGCCGCGCTCAACACTGCGCACAATGTGTCTGAGACTTTCATATACGTCAGTGCGCCAGATACCTCTCCAGGCAGCCAATATGCCGCGATACAGCTTCGTAAGCGACTGTACACGCTGCGCGTCTGCCACTCGTCGCTCTGTGCCGGTAAGAACATCTGCGGAAACTACCTTTTTAAACGCCGAGGCGTCCGCAAGGTGCTTGACAGACACAGTGGGATTGCCATCACGTGATATGACGGCGGAGTACCATCGGTGTGATATCAAGTAGGGTAGGAAGAGTGATAACTTCTCCGCCAATACTGTACGGCAAAGATCACTTTCCGAGTTGCCACATTCTTGTAAGACAGCATCAAGGATACGCCACGCCCCAGAGCGATCCCTGCAGCCACCGTCATCATCATCTTCAGTGTCGACGATACGCCACACGAGCGCTCGAGCCACTTCACTGGCATGAGCTGCCGCGTGAAGCCTGACAAAGCGCAGGGCGTACACTATGCCATTCTCCACAGCGGTGTCGTCCATCAAGGGAGACGACAGCTGAATACAGCATCGATGCAAGAAATCTCTATTCAATCCGGCCAAGGGCATTTTCCACGAAACTGCAGGAGAGAAGTCAAGCAGAGCGTATCACGGTGTATCCTTTATCTGTCTTTAAGCTTGATGAACAGACAAAGCCGTGAAGGGTTTATACAATTAAATAAATGAGTTGTTATGCTTATTTGTCTTTTTTTTTGCTTCTATGTGATCAATATTACAGACAATTTTCCAGTTACACTAATAACGGAAAGCCACACTTTATATGTTGAAGAAAAAACTTGCGTAGCAATTACCACCAGAGTATTTGCACAACAAGATAGCCTGAGGCCAAAGATAGAAGGGTTTGGAAGTCAACAGAAGAACAAGAATGTTGCAACGACTGCTTTGGCTTTGGTAATAGGGCCTAAGACAGATATTAGGCACCTTCAATACGTTATTCGTTTCCTCAAGCTTCGTTCAAGGTAGTGGCTCAAATAACAATGTGAAAGGCGTTCAGATAAATGGATGCGAGTACAATTCTTCACACTATGTTTCACTATACTATTCTAATTACCAATTACGAGGTTACACCTCACACTTGTACTGTGGAACTATATACCAACCAAACAAAAGCAAAAAAAAGAATAACTAAGAAGGCTATGAATGGAAAAAACGTGTATTCCTTGAGTAGCGCCTCTTGCTATAACCACCTACATGAGGTAACACGAGAAGGGAAAAACAACACGTTTATATAGGAGCACACGTGCGCTCATAAATATACAAATATACGAATATTATTAACAATGTGTCCTAGTCCCATTACACAATGCTCTTGACAGCATGCTGTATCATTGGGAAAGTTTTTTAAAGGAGTTGCTGTCCTTGAAATCCAAATGGAAAGCTCGCCACACTTACTCTCCCTGTTGGCTCCTGAAATAGAGACTTCTGGTAAAATGAAGGTGTTGGCTTGCGGATATTGCCAAGTATACTTTGCAGAGGTGCTTCCACATGGGCACCTTCCAATCAGTCGAAGGAAGAAAGCCGCATGAAAAAGCAAATGGAATAACTAAATGGAAGGTCATTTTACCTCCTGTTACAACTCCAGACATGTGGGCGGAGCCTTCGTATGGTCAGTCCGTGATAAACCCCATAGTCCCTCTCCGTCTCTTGGATTTATTCCACTGCTCTTGTTGCTTTAAGAGGATCCCTGAAGTTGTGCCACGTAATTTAGGCCAAAGTATGTAGTGGAGGGCTAAACACAGAATGAAAGCTCAGACTAGTTCTTTCAAACACCACACACCTCGATCTTCTATGTTTACTCATATAGCATTCTATAGTTTACATTCTTGTTTCTTTCCATGTGTGCATAAGGTCGGAAACCTATATAGACTTAATGATACTCCCTAAGCTTCAAGAATGACACTAAGCTCATTAATGATGATTCAATATAAATTTCAAGTTGGCAAATGTAGCAAAGCCCACCAATCTTTTAGGATTCATCATGTTTAAGGGGGAAAAAAAGAAAAACTGCTATCTTTGTATGTTTTGTCTTAGTATAAGAACTAAAAATTTTACATCCGCGCATCTCAACGGACGCGCGCGTGCGTGTAGTTACATCGATATTGCATTTGCTTTACAGCTATATCGCGCTTTCAAATTCAGTTCAAGAGCGGCTAACCGTACACCTTAATTGAGGAGCCCCACTTCCTTTCTCCTTTCCATTCATTCTAGGTTGAACAACTGACTGATGGCTCATCAACATTGGTTGCAGTCGACTGTAGTAACTCTCGTGCTTGAGGGATCCAGCTACGCCATGTGCCGCCAGGGTGATTCGCATCAAGAAACAAGGCCGCTGCTCGTTCCGACAGTATCACTTGCTGACTAGAAGGTGATGCCCGCATTGCCACAAACGCCACGAGGGTTGCCCACGACTCTTCAGAGCCGCATGCCTCAGGACGTGCATTTGATAGCTGCCGCAAGGGGATTCCCACGTGTGCTCCTAAGGAGTCATTCAGAGAAAAGGCGCCGCTGCTGGACTGCAGGGTAAACAGCTCCTTTACCCGGGATCTGCATGACACCAAGTCCACGATACGGTTTACCACCGAACGCATGTAATCCTCAGTGGATGACGTTTGCTGCAGCATCCCTGCAATGTATCCCTTATTATTGAAAGGGGAGACGACGGTGGAAAGCACTAGGGGTGTGGCCGACCGCTCGATCATGAAATCGGAGCGTAGTGCCATGAATCGTAAGTAGTGAATCTGAGGTGGAACGAGATAGGTGCCAGTTGTCGCCGGCAATGACACATCACTCGAAACGAGGGAAGTATACAGTGAAGGCAAGGAAAAGGTCTCCGAAAGACGGATTGCTTCCTTCTTTACATTCTCAGGGTCACTAGACGTCAGCGATGCGATGTAGCGAAGACGCGACTCTGCCGTAGCTACATGAAGTGGTCCCACGTCGAGGGCGGTGACAGCGTCGCTGGCCTCGTTCTCCTGATGTTTCGGCGAGCGACCTTCCCAGACCGCGGCCACCGCACAGTCGCAGCTCACACTGAACTCATGAACGATGTCGCCGACCTTCCCAGTAATGGACAACGAAAGCTTAGACGTGTCTGCCGGAGCCAAGAAAAACAATAAATGCTGGTTGTTGCACGGCACAGCAGCAATAGAGGATGCAGTGCTGCTTTTCTTCTCCATCTGCTGGTAGACAGGCAGTGCGGGGCGCACCGGTGTGTCTGCCTCGAGCTCAACTTGTATGTTTGTGAGCGTCTCGACCGTACAGGCGGCGAACACCTGCGCAATTGCACGAGAAAGTACCGTGGCATCGTGAGCGACTCTGAAAGCACCACCACCCTCCTCCGCAAGCAGGCGTAGCGTCGCCATGCCGGATGCGCTCTGTAGCACATTCGCGCCTGCTGCAGTCTTCGCAATGTTGGTTAGGGCGACAGCACTGACGCGCACGTTTTGACGGAGCGCCGCGTCTAACGCCTCACCAATCATCGAAAGGGATGTGGGTAACCACTCGGTGCCTGCTTCATCGGAGAGCACAATGATGTGCCGCAGGTAGCCCTCAAGGGCGGGGCCTCCACCAAAGCACCCGGCGTGTGTAAACAACCCATGGAGGACCTGTGGTAGTCGCGACACACAATCACCTTGATGAAGTTTCTGGGGAGTCGTTGAGGCAATTAGAGCCAAAGTCTCTTCAATTTTGGCTTCCTGTACCCTAACGGCCCCATCAGGGTGGAGGCATATGTTTTTATCTTCGCTAAGTACGATCACGTTGAAATATACAGAGTTCGGAAGTGTGCGTAGCGATGAGTGTAGGGAATCTGCCATAGCTAACAACGACTGTGGGCTGTGTCCATCACACACCAATATCACTTCCACATTGGGCAGGCTACGGTACAGATTTGGAGTGAAGTAAGCGACAACAGCGAGCTTATCGTCGTCTGCCACGGTACTTGACACATCCCTTTCCACAAATATGCGCAGCGGCTCGCGTGTATTTAGAAGATCGCACGAGAGGAGAAGAGATGCAGATCGATTGGGAGTGCATAGGTCCTCTAAAGGAGCTGTGTATTGTAGGTGAAAGGCGCAGTCACCAAAGTACTCCGTTTTGCACTCGAGTGGGATTGAGAGTGGCGATCCACCGGCTGTGGAGCCATGGATCCGCTCCAGACGCACCGGGCCGCGCAGCGCCACTGGGAGCTCTGCAGACACGTTCAACTTCACACCATGTTGCAAATATCGAGTGGCGTTGATCAGAGTGAACATTCGGTTGTAGCTTACGACTGTGTCGTGGGGGCACTGCATGGTTGGAAACAGCATCGAAGACAATTCGAGAATAAAGCTCGATGCAGATCGCACAGGATGCCCCTGTGAATGTGGAATGCAATATACGGCATTCATGAGCGCGGAGGTCCCGACTCGCACAACAAAAGGTAGTGACTGTGCAACGACGCCCAAAGTAAGAAGGTCTGGTGATGGGGTAATCGTCATTGAACTGCAGACCTCGTCATAGCTTTGACTCTTCTTCCCACCGCTGTGGTAGACAGCTCGCGACACGTTTCCATCGTACATCACGGCACACTCCTGGAGAAGCCACCCGAAGGGCAGCGGGTAGGCCCCCATTACAGCCTTGTTGCACTCTGTCTCATTGATGTACTCTAGCTGGAGCTTCACTTGGGTCGCGTAACCTTTGCACGTGACGTCAAGGGCACAACCATGCAAGGTTAGTGGATAGCGACCTCCTTCCGTCGTAATAAGGCCTCGTATAGTGGAGTTGAAGCTAAACTCTTTCAAGCCTGGTTTAGCAGAGATGGATAAACTACTTTCCATTTTTTTGCTATTTCCGATAAAACACTATCACTAGGATGCATTGTATAGTAACCATAGATCAAGAAGAATCAAACAGGTGCGAACACCCAGCGAGGGTAGAAAAAGGTATGTTTACTGATTTCAATATGAAGTCTTCTAATTCTATCACTCATCAAGCGCACTACATTCCTGCCCAAGAAGCTCCTCACAAAACTTCCATTGCCGTGAATTATAAGAGCACATTAAAATTAAAATTATACCCATTCATTTTTCAATTGACTGGGATATTTTTTTTGGCTTGCAAGGTCAAAGTCTTAAAGAAGGTTAATTGTGGCGTCTCTACCTATCCTATTTGTCTGTATCCTTTAGATTTCTCATGCAGTGGATTATGACCTCTTTCCTAATCAACGATACATCGTGAACATTCAAGTACGGTAGTGAATTTAACAAAGGACATGCCTTCACGCACGTAAAGGAGAAAAAAACACATGGATCCATGATCAACACGCACATCTGAAGAAGTCAACACTTTGCCTGCACAACTCAGATTTCCCCTTTAATACTGATTTAGTAGATGTTAACGCTAATATACTTTTTCCCGATGGTAACTTTTATTCGTATATTCCTTTTCCTATGATACCTTTTACATCGCAATTTGTGACTCATCGGGCAAAATGGAAAAAGTTTCAGACACGCAAAGATGTCCTAGCAACAACCAGCTATAGAATGTTTGACTAGCCTTGCTTATGTCACTTCCACTGACTTCACTTGTGCCGGCGCAGACGACGTTGGCAGCTCTCTTTATTCTTGTGTGCTATCAACAAGAGCAATGATGATGTTAATGACGGCGATAGCACGTATGAGGCAAGTGGGTCCGTGTGTCGGAATATGTAAGACATCAGACAGGTACACATGAGGAAGAAAACACCATTTACGAAAAATAAGGTGTACCCCACGGCGACCTGCAGCCGCAGACGGCGAAGTAACTTCTCATCCTTCTCTGAGCCCTCTGCAAAGTGGCGCTGGCGCGCCCAAAATTCACTCTCCACCATCACAATATAAGCCTGTGTGAGTATGTAGGTCGTGAGAATGGTGATTAACACATAGATTAGGGCATTAATGTGTCGATTCCATTCAAGACCATTGATCGCGTGGGAGAAATACACAGGTTGAAGGCTTGTAATAAGCGCCACCAATGAAAGCAGGTACTTTGGGTATTGAAGGACGTTAGCACTGATGCACTCTTCAAGGAGGATATCATCATCCATTGTTTCTTTTTTGTCGCTATAACGAAAGGGAATAAAAAAATGTTTGGCTGGACTACATGTCAAAAAATTAAATATTTATATAAATAAACAGAATAAAGCAAGAAATTCATAAATATTCAAAGCTCATCGCAATGTCAAACGTCATACACCACAGTATGTAATGAATAATATTTTTCCAGGAAGCAGGCTTGTTTAAGAGTAAAGCTCTTCGATTCAAGATTCTATAAGTGGCCCGATATAAGAAATCAACTACGTCAATACAACAAAACTGCCACGATTTTTTCAGAAATATCTTTAAGAAACTAAATATTGATAATTTTCAACCTATAAAAAATATATATATTCGCTTATATTTTTTCTCCAAAAACCTATGCATAATTATATAGCTACCTTCCCCCCTATTAACCTATGAGTCCAACCTACTTACTCAGGAATTTTCTCGAGAGCCTCGCGATATTTCTTCGCATCATCAGCAAACGCCGCATGATCGGTTGGAAGCATATCCCAGTAGGGTATCTTGAGTCCAGAATCAAGGTCACGCTTCGGAATAATATGGAAGTGCACATGACTCACTTCTTGATGTGCAATGGTGCCATTATTTTGCAGAACGTTATATTTTGTGCTGGAATCAGGACCCGCGACGACACGGCTTACGTGAGCCAATACACGCCCGACATCAGCAGCGGAATCGTAGTCCAGGAAGTGTAGCTCCTCTGCGTGTTGTTTTGGGATGATGAGAAGGTGGCCCCGTGCGAGGGGGTTGATGTCCATAAAGGCAAGGGTCTTCGGAGTCTCAAAGACTTTATGGCATGGGATAGATCCGTCGATAATCTTGCAGAAGATGCAGGCAGCTGCCATTGGTTTATCGTCAAGTTTTGCAAAAGGGGTTATTCACTGTTGAATATCAGAAAAATGCACGGAATACTGTGTATATTTATTCCACTTTGATTGTTTTCGAGATTTTTTTTTTGCTTTTAAAAACCAATGAAAAATAGGACGCAAACAGATGATAATGAAGAAAAAGAAACCCCCTATTGGATCCAGGGGTGTAATATTGAATAAAAATAATTCCCATTGATTGCTTCCTTGTTCCCTATCGTAATTTATACTTCATAACTACGTCTCATCACACTTCAGGTACTCCTCGTGCTATGACACTTCCTACACGTATCTACACAAGCAATAAAATAGATAGGTGCATTAAAAACCATAAAGAAACACAACTCTGTGTATAACTCACAGAGCATTAGACCTTTTAAAGTTGTGCATGCGTCGCTCATAGTGACGGTGAGCGGTAGGTGACGCCTCAGGGACAGCAGTATTGACATCATTGCTACCCTTTAATTGAGGATCGACTACTAATGGTGTCTGCTGGGGGTTTTCAGCCTTCACAACCGTTACACGCGTGGGTTTCTTGTCTCGGTGCATCGTCTTAACGGGTTTCCTTTCGTTTTGTTCGACAGCGATCTGGTAGAGTGCGACAGCGGCGATCTTGTCGGTTTCATTCTCCTGGGCTAGCGGCGGTACGCTATGTGAACGCGATTCTTCCTTTGGTGCCAAGGGCGCTGTCGCGCCCCCGTCTTTTCGAGACACTTTCTTACGCTTTGCGGACATCTGATGAAGTCCAGGCATGGCCTCAGCGATGCGACGTACTTCATAGCCTTCTCGCCGCCTTGCGAGACGATCGGCGATGCTCTGTGTTGCCTCGTTGCTGACGGACTGAGTTGGCGCACCCCCGAGGGCAGAGGTCTCCATTAGATGGGAGTTAATGGCGTCGACCATGTACTTGAGGTGCGCCATGGCTGTAGCCACCATCTCGTCACGCCGTGCATGACGTTCACGCTCATTCAGAGGAGCCTCACCTTTGCCGTGCTGTGTAGGGGCACTAACGGCCAAGCTACCTGTTTTTAAGGCAGCAGCACGCGCAGCACAGAGGTCCTCAAGGGATCGCACAAGCCCCTGTAAGCAGTTGCGAGCCTGTAGGAGCTCCGGCAGGACGACCCCTCTCGCGGTGTTCGCGGACTTCACGTTGTTAGCCATTGCGTGGACCAGTTCCAGGATGGTAAGAGCCTCTGCCTCGATAAGCAGCACCGCGTGATCAAGAAAGGCTGGGCTGCACTCGAGCGACATCTCGAACGCATTCACATCGGCGCTCACCGCCGTCACAAAGGCCATGGAAAGATGCGCAACCAGACGTTGCATCACCGCAGCACCAAGGGTTGGTTGGTGGATGCAGTCAAGCGTTTCGTGAGCCCTGGCAACGTACACAATGCACTTAGCAATATATGGTCGCACAGCCATCCCCATTTGAGATGAGATACGCTGCCAATCGAAGAGGGGGCTCATGAAACCTCGAGAGCGAATCTCATGCGTGATATGCTGCTGAGGTATCGCGATATACATGCGGAGCATAGCGTCCACAGCCAGCTGACAGTGCTCGCCCACACGTGACAAGTACTTCTGTCGAAACACATCTTGCCGCTGCTTTGTTATCGGAGTGACTTCTGTTGGGTTAGTTGAGTGGAGGTTGGCCATGAGACTAAAGAGGCAGGGCGTCAACATATGATCTAGCACGATTGAGGATACTGTGGTGGCTGTACAGAGCGCATCCGCTACGCATTCCATAATGTTGCCCTCCCTCTCCTCGAGCTCTACGTGTAGGTTGACGCTGATAGCACGACATCGGTTGTGCAGCATGTCAACAAAAGATAAGAGGAGGTTTGCCACAAGCGCCTGCATCATCTCCTCGTGTGCATCAATGTGTACCAACACTAATTTTACGTGGGCGTCAGCTGCTCTCAGTGTCGCCTTATTTGCCAAGACAGCAGCGCTATTGCTGGAATTGGTGCCCTCAGGGCCGCTCAACGCTACACCAGAGTCTCCGTTCGGCAAGCCGTCGCGATCCTGTCGAAGTACGCGCCGACGCTGCCGGGGCCCTGAACGGGAGATTGGTTCTCCATCTTCAACCTCACCCTGCAGCGTCTCCGGGTCCACAGCCTTGGCCTTCAAGAGACCCGCATCGTCATTGACCTTAATGTGACGCTGGATAAATGGTATAGTACGGTCCATCACAACGGAAAGGAGGTTAAGAAATTTGTTGGGGTAGAATGAGGAAACAAATTCGCGACTCAAGCGAGCCCGGACACGGTACTCCAGCGAGGCGGTGTTGATGCCGGAAGGGCTTAGCATGGGCAATAAAGATACGTAAGCTTTCGAGAGAACACCAATGCCGTGTAAATAGGAGTTAAAGCAGTCACTCCTCAGCTTTTCAATCGCTGCCAAAAGCTCGCTAACGTCATTTACCTGTTGCTCAGCATAGACAGCGTTGGTGGAGGACGACCCCCCGATCACAAGTTTGATGCGCCACACAGACTGATCTACCACCGCCATCATGCGCTCCCATTGGCCAAGGATGACCTCAACAAGCACTGCGGCGTGAAGCTCGATACGTTCATCATGGGCATGTGCTGCGAGGTCACCCAACGTATACCGTGACATCGTGCGTACAAAGGCGTTCACCACAGAGCAGTTCACAAAGGAGAGAAGCAGGGAGTAAAGAGTATCCCGTGCGGTTCGTACCATATGGAGGACAGCCTGCGAAGACAAGTCACGCAGCGTAACACCACTGTACGGCGTGGACACCGACTCCTTTGAATTTCGTGCCACGACCCCACCACTTCCACCCCCCTCAACCCCATCGCGAACATGCAAGAACTCAGGCAGCACTGGCACGTAGCGAATCTGCGGAAGGGCATCAAACATGCGTGGACTGTATTGGTCGCTATGGGGCTCAAGCGCATCGACGGCGAACGGCAGTGACGTATTGAGTGCTGGTTTTGACTCGGTGTTAACTGCTCCTGAGAAGCTGGAAACAGTTGAGACTCGAGCCGACAGATCGATTGATGAGGGCCCATCTGCGGGAATGCCGAGGGTCCTTTTCGAGATCAGAAGGTCCTGCAGCATACGATGAAGCGGCATGCTCGCGTCCGGGTGAAAGTCAAAAATACCCGCCCGGATACTCGAGGCAATGCCAGTCCAGAAGGAAACTATAGCTTGCTCTACATTTGAGATGCACGCCTCGGACATGCGTGTGGCAAAAGACTTCAGCAATGACACTTGTGCCATGGTATCAGCCTCACTGTTCGCGCAGTCGCCAAGCTGCTGTAGGATGGCATTACTGTGTAGAATCATTTGCACACAGCTACTCTCCAGGACGTTACCCATATTCATGCCACCGAAAGTGAAGGTGGTATAGGTCTCAAAGTTCACCTCCGGAGTGTGAAAGGCCCTGAGGATGGCCTCGGCATCCGAGTGTCGGATCCAATCAGTTCCGCCCCAAGGAGTAGCCGAGGCTATGTTTATCTCATCTTCAGGATCTGAATCTGTACTGGCTTCGCTAAACGCGAGATGATCATCTGAATAAAGGTTCGGATTGTCAAGGAAAGAATCGGCCAACCTGGCAGGAGTCTTCCCTCCAGAGCGCGGCACAGATCCCCGGGTGGCATCACCATATTCGGCGGAATTACGGAAGTCTTGCTGCTGGACACCAGGCATGGCAGGGGTGGAGTAAAGCTTATTGAGCCACTCCGTTGCCTCACTCAAAAGAGCCGCTGCGCTGGCATATGAAAGACGCGTGTTTTGGTCGCAGACAATGCTTATAAGGTATTGTGCAGGGTGCATCATCTCCCGCTTCATGTTTCCCACGCCACGATAGGTGGTTCCCTCTGAAAAAGCAGGATGGTTACTCGCCGTTTCACCGTGTTCAGTGTCGGAGTCAGAGTAGTGGCTCGCGACTCTCGTAAGGGAAACTCGGCTTCGGCCCTCCTTCGGAGTATATGAATCAGCGGCTACAGCTGCAGCAGTTCCTTCTGCGACCTTCTCATGCAGGCCAACAAGGACATGCGCATTCCCACCAAGTAAAGTGTTTCGTGTGACAAAGCAGAAATGGTGCAGTTTGACGCTTTCGATGGCTACCTCCATCATCATCGAAAGGGTGTCTTCGATCAACACGACATCCATCGCGTTTGCGTACTTAAGTTCCTCGGCGAGCTGGTCCTCAAGGTAGAGCATCGCCCGCAGTAGGGACACTCCAAAATGATACGTGAAGGATGTCCGTCCCGCCCCGTTCGATCTCTTGCACCCTGTATTATCTATTTCACTACCACCATTGGCTACGGATGTATGACCATTGGACAAAAATTCAGGACCTGACGCTATATCCGCTGCCAATGGGGTCCCGTCCTCTAGATTGTAATTTTCCTCAATGTAGAGCATCGCGCGACGCAGACTAAGCATGGCACCGCTATAATTGCTTACTGTCTCGACGTGTCGCCGTTGCATATTCGTATCCTTGAAGCGCAGCAGCGGAGTTCCATACCAGTAAAAAATTTCCTGATCGGAATGAACTTCATACTCATCAACAGCGGTGTTGTATGCCTGGTTCACGAATTCCTCTAGCGCACCCCGTGTATTTGGAGAACCATCTACCCTAGTATCGCTAGAGTTACTTGAGGCGACCGAGGTAGCATTGTTAATTTCCAACTTACGCTCTTGGACTTCACTATGTAGTGCATTTTTTTTATCGTGATTTTCGGCATCGAGGTCATTGAGCTCCCAAGGATCTGAATGAGTTTTGCGGCGCGCCACACGCACTCCGCAGCATTCATACAATACACCAGGAATACTCAGCACGCTAAACAGTTTCTCAAGAATTTCCTGCATCTTGCGACTATGTCGAACACTTAAAAATGAATCTATTGTTGGCTTCACTAGATTGGAGCAACTATCCAATGCCAATTTGAACGCTGCAGAGATGTCGTTCAGTGCCTCGCCGGTGAACAGCCTCCGGTCTCTAGAGTACACAGCTGTCATCGCATCCTTGGAGTTGATGAAAACTTCCAAATTATCCCGAATTAGATGCTTCAGTGCTTCGTCAGTTTCCTCCACTGCATTGCCGATCTCGCCGACGATTTTATCCTCAAACCCGCTATGTGATACTCCTCCAACTACCTCTTTAAGGAATTTCTTCGCGTGAAACGAGCGGCTGGTGAGGTCGAGGGCTGGTTTACTGGCCGACTTTGCATCACTAAGCACGTTGTGCATTCTCCCCCTCCGTCGGGGTTGTTTGACTGTATGCACACAGAAATGTAGGGTTTTTTGTCACTAGAAGCCTAGAGACTTGTGTTTTTTATAATATCGTTTCTAGACACAAACCTAAAAGGAGAATTCTTCCTGCAATATTTCTATCCTCAAGCAACTGTTCCTTATTTATTTGATCTTCGGTTGATTTCTTGGAAGAGATGAACCACTAATAAAAGATCATTCTGCTTTTTTACGAGTATCAATGATACATCAACTTCATATGGAAAGTAGTTTCTTTTCCTCACAATCATTCTTCTCATCTTCATTCGTCAAAAAGCATATGTAGAAAGAGTATATACGTGAAGCTATTTTGAAGACCTGTAACCTGTAGAGAAAATATATAAGAAACACTGTAATTTGCATTCACAGCCCCCCCCCAATACAACATACAACTCACCTATCATCCTGCCCCTCAACAATTCATGAAATCATTTTGCCTTATAGAACTCAAAAAAGGAGCACGCTGCATGGTCTCTTCAATGACAGAAGCTAGCTCGAGGGTGGGCCTCGCAATCTGCTCGGACAGCAAATTGCGCATCCGTTGAACATAGTACTGTCTGTAGCGCTCATTATAGTCACGCATAAGTCCTTCACTGATGGCCCTAGTATATTTTAAGTTGTTGAAATAGAAGGCATCTTTGACGTCATACACGTCGCTGGCAAGACTTCGGTACATGCTCAGGACGTGGTCGATAGCATTCAAAACTGAATCGATATAGCTATATTCAAAGCGCAGCCTCATACACACGTTAAGGTAGCGCTTGTCGGCGAGTTGTCGCTCTTTTTCCGCGATATCACTCAACATACTTGATGCGTTATGGAAATGCTCAGCGAGCTGCGAAAAACACTCTGCCTTCCGTAGTGTTGCCTCGTAATCCATCATAGCCGAGGCGGTTTTGATCTGCTCAGCATTACAGTTGTTTTTGGAGTTGAGAAAGGCCTCAAAACCCTTTGCGGCCTTTCTGAAGAACCCTTGTCGCCTATCCAGAACCTCAGCAATCGCCTCCCATGCCTTAGCGTCTTCCTGTAGATCCATGGGCAAGGCTGACCAGCGCTCGTTCTGGCTGGGGAGGGCGCTGGACCGGTGGTCGACGCCGTGAACCACACTCTCAGCATCATCTCCCCACAGTAAACCTGCCAAGGAGCGCACGATTTTCGTTGATTTTTTGGCTATTTTATTTGTTGTGTATTCAACGAAGGTACAGTTTCGTTGCTTGAATTGGTCAACAGTTTTGTTAGCGAGACGCATTTCATTGAGTGTAGCGCGCATGCGAATTAGTGTGCTGGTCTCGAACGTTTCGCGTGCGTCTAGGAAAAAAGACGGTATCCACTCGGAGAAAAACACAATTTCCGGCATTGCAGCGATCTCACTGAGAAAGAACTGCATGTTACAGCGCTGCTTCGATAGTTGATCTTCAGCATTGAAGTACGTCTCGATGTGATTCACACTGTCTTTGTCTGGCAAAGGTGGGATAACAATATTGGGAAACTGATGCATTAGAATTTCACGAAGCTCCATCAGCTCCTTATAGCGCCGCTCCACCGTCGCACAGCTGTTGCGGGTCCACTCATTTCTCTTGATGCCCATGTTGATGTGGCGGTGGTGTGAGCCCATCGGCACATCAGGGGCGGTGAAGTGTCCATCGTTTTTCACAAGAACCTCAACGCTTATTGGAAAGTAGGTAATGGGCCGCAGCACCTCCTTACCCTTAAAGGGCTTGCCCACGCATAGCTTGGCTAGCGGCTTCCGCTCAAGACAAGATGTCACCGAGTGGGGCTTTGGATGTGAAGGGGTAGATTCCATGAAAGGGGACTCAGCGGTCACACCCGGTTGGACTGACGGCACTTCCCGATGTTCGAATGAGGCCTCAGCAGTATGGTCTAAATTGGACGGTAGTGGTGGCTGGTGGCCATCTTGTTTAGCCTCGTCGAAAGAGTCTTGCGAAAGCATAAAAAAATTCCAATAATAAAACTCAGCACTTCACGTTATGAGAAAGAAAAATAATAGTACGAAACACTGATCTGGTTGTAGCGCCTCGTCACATACTTTGCATCATAAAAAGGGAGACGACAAAAAAGAAAAACACCAAAGAATTGCGCATTTGGTGAAAACTAAGAAGGTTTTTACCTTAATCATTCCAACTCCACAAAATTATAACGCTACTGGACAGCAATAAATAAGTACCATTGTGTTGTCAGCACCCTAAAGAGCACCAAAGAGCTAAATGGGAAACTATACATCGTAGGGAATGAAAATAAAAGACACATTCATGGGAAGCGCGTAAATACTACAAATCTCAAAATAGGAATAGATCCAATTCTTGTGCAATCATCAAGCAGTAATTCAGAACAAATACAGTAGATTTCACTAATAAATCTATCCGCCAGCCCATTTCATGCTCGACGTATTTGTCGTCACAAACATCACAATCAACAGCAGTAGCTGGGTTCACCTTAATGGGCCGTTGCGCTCGTCGTCGGGTAATGACTCAACTCACGTAACAGCTGCTCCACCTCTGAAGTGTACTTCTTGATTTGCTTCACCAGCTCCACATGAGTATTCGTCAAGTCCACAACACGGATTCGACTTTCATTAATACGGGCTTTCCGCTGTTCATAATCGATAAGAAGATTTTCGGAGCCTACTAGGGGTATCTTCTCTCGCATGCGTAAGTTGCTATTGAGGAACTCATCGCGACGCTTCTTTGATTGAGCCAACTGGTCCCTCACCCCACTTAACTCTTCCTCAACGGCAGCTACTTGAAAACGGAGCTCGGCGTTTTCTTCCCGTTTGAACTCCAATTTTTCCCGCATATGTGTCAAGACGTGCACTGTAGTTGTAACCTTCCGACGCAGCTTGGCGATGTCGTCGTTTCGCTCCTCTATCTTCTCGTTCAAGTTAGCGTTCTCGATTTTAAGCTGCTCTAAGTCGATAAGATACATGCCATCGCTTGACCCACCACCAGTTCCCTGGGAAGCGAGGTGCCGAAGCCTTTTTGCCTCGTTCTTGAGTTGAAGGTAGCGAATTCTCGCCTTTCGGATGTTGCCTCGTTGCTTCTCATCAATTTCTAGAAAAGAATTGACATCTTCTGCGGGTATGCGATGATTCGAGTGTGTGAAAGAGGCACACTGCGAGATCTCTTTGATGAACTCCCTAAATTCTGCTTCCTGTGCGAGGACGCCATCTATTGCGCCCTGGTACCGCTCTCGCAGATGAACTAGTGCCTCCTCCGCGGCTTGTCGCTTGCGAAGCAGACGAGTTTTCTCCTCATGTAGCTTCCGAACTAGCGCCCAGTACTGTCGCTCTGCCTCCGGTGGTGTGAGTTGGTTGTTGGTGTTGTCCTCACCTTTTCGTGTGCGTTGTTCCGCAAAGTGACAAGCGATCCGATGCTGGCAAACGAGGTTGCGCTCTAAGATAGCTGTCCGTTGGGAAAGCAGATCGTCGTACTCTTGCAGGAGCGCTGCCTGTGTGGATTGCGAGTACGTTCCCGCAGCGGACACCGCAGCTGAACCTGTCGATGCGGATTCCAGTTCGGGAGAAGTCGGCTTCATCTGCAGTACAATGGACTTCATGCGCTCGTGGTCATCCTCACGTTCCTGGAGGTACTGGCGCCATTGCCTCTGAATAGCAAGCGCCGCTTGATTTTGGAGCTCTACATTCCTCCGCCTCTTCGCTTCTTCTTCGTACATGAGTAAAAAGGCAGGCAGATCAGAAAAAAGATACAGTGAGCGTATATGTATTTTATCAATTACTAAAAGGAACAAGAGGAAAAGGTACAACGTATAAAAAGAAAATTCAGTCCCGCAGTTATCACGATTACACGCAGTTTAAAGTCGGTGAGAAAGGGTAAAGCGTCAGTTACAAGATGGAGATTATAGGTTGGAGAAGCAATAGTTTGTAATGTAATATTTTTTGGGTGCAGTAGAAGGGGATAAAAGAGGACATCCAAAGTCTCAACTCTAGAAAATATGAATACCCAAAGATATAAATGATCGACCGCTATACAAGAAAGCAATGGAAAGGTGGAACGAAAGGCGTAAGGATAAAGACTTGCTAGCGCTGCTGCTGAAATATAGGCGATTCAAAAAAAAAAACGGATACATTTTCACAATAAATTCTAAGTACCTGCACATTACCGACATACACACAAAAATAGAAGAGCAAAAGTTCAAATTAATAGGAAATATAGCATAATATTATATGATATACCAACAGATCCATAAATAGATAAAGAATTTAATATCGAAATTGGTATGAATGTCTTCTATCAATTACCAACATAGTCGACCTGTGGTTTTCAACCTCTTCTACAGAAGGAAGAAGTTTTGATCACCCCTACTGCTAGATATTGACCATTGTCTCCTACTTCTTTATGAAACACACTTATTTTAGCTGTTTCCTTCTCTACTAAAACCCTCGTCCCCCTTCCTCCAGCAGCTGTTCAATGTGTGAACCTCCTGGTCCAATAATGCAGCCGAACAACTTCTCAGGCTCGCCGGAGACCACAGGAACGCCCTTCAAGGTGATCTTCCTCAGCCACTTGGTGGGCTCTTGTGCTACAGCACGCATCCTGCACACTTTGATGGTGATGACAACTAAGATTTCAGAATTTCGATCAGCTCCGATATAAAGAATTTACGGGTGGCTCCAACGGAGATTCGCAAGAAAGCCAAAGCCACCTAGATTGAGCTGATTCTACACAGAACATAAATTCACATTGAGGCTAGGCACCTAGTCGATTTGATAGGAATAGAGCAAGGTAAAGTTTCTTACTGTGGTGATGCCACACTCTATTCGGTCAGGATTATCACTCGCAGACAAGTGGTACACTGAGAAAACTGGTTGTACACTCTTGCGGCATGCGACACATCCAATGGTCACCAAAAGAGTGACGGGTGCCTAAGCAATGTATAATTTCCATTTTTCCAGACTGTGATATTGAGCTTTGTCATGGTAGGTCATATTTTCGTTTAGAACAATTCCCTATTAATCCCCATTTACTTTCGAAACTCTGTTATACCCTCATAAACAGATGATTTCTTTGTTTATATACTCTTTCACGTAAACATATGAAAGAGTAAGCAAACTCGACATCTGAGTCGGATGTCGCTGCTCATTTCAATGAATCCTAATCAACCAAAAGGGTAATAATGAATGAGCCTTTGTGTATTTTTATGTAGCTTTCTACATGCATTAATATTCCTCCGCTGCACACACAAAAAAGAGAAATAAATCGATATTTCCAAAGTGGTTCTGAAGTTTGTTTCATGTGCATACCCCTCCCTCACAACAGGGTTCATTCCTCGGCATCTCCTTTCCAAACTTCATGGCCTCGGATCCACCTGTAGGAGTTGGGGACTCATTTGGTTGCTGCAGCATCATTGGAGAATCCGGTCCGGATTTTAAACTAGGCAAGTTTTCAGCACTCTTCCAGGCTGATGCTTCCCTCTGTGAATGCACGAATTGCCTGCGCTGCTTTGCCTCCGAGGATAGTCTTTTCTCTAACACTTCAAGCTTTTCCAATGTGTAGGATTTCACGGGAAGAATTTTTGGCTTACATAGCAGTAAATGCATCTCCTTCAGCTTAGTGTGTATCAAACCATTTTCAGGAAGAATTTCACTTATTTCTAGGCTATTATCACTCTTCAATGGCTCAGTGGACATGGTTGACTCCTGTGACAATTGATTTAATATTTTACACGTTCTTCTTTACACTTCACCTGGTGTATTTTTAGGCTATGTGCATATAGTGAATAAAAAAAGTGTAAATGGAAGATAAAAAGCAGAAATTTAACCACACTCCCAGATCGCCAGTAAGTCCAGAATGATAATCAACAAGAAATGGAGCGATCATAAAAACTCACCTGATTTATTGTTATGATGCCTTAATTTAAAATATGGCTTCAGCTTAGGTGTGCTTTGCTCATTTTCCCTCGAATATATTTGAATTTCTTTATTTTTATCAACTAACTTTCAAGCCTTTATAAGATACTTACCATTATGGGCATTGCGTCACAATACGGTTATTTTTACCTTCTCTTTACCCCTGTCTAAAATATTTACGGCTCAAAAAAGTGAAATATCTCCATCCATACCCTCTGCCTCTTCCTCTTCCACCACAACCTGTGGGTGAGGTCCATTTGACTCAAGTTCTTCACCTGCCAGAATGTGATTTAGCTGCGCTTCGAAGTTAGACTGGTTGAGTGTAAAGGTCTGAAGAAACTGCTGACGCCACATAATCTTCTTGTCTTTTACGATAAAGGCCATCGGACAGGACATAACGGAGAGGCCAGACACAGAAGCATACTCCTTACTGACCTCTTTCCGGTTGTCAAAAACGATGTGGGGAGGATCGAGGCGCAGACGATTCTTTGTGTTCTCATCAATGATCTCCTTTCCGAGATATTTCTCTGTTTTGGCTCTGTCTGCATCGGTACTGATGGCAATGATAGTGGCCTTACCATTGAAACGCTCCGAGAACTGTGTGAACTCGTTGTTGCAAATATCCGCACCTCGGTAAAAAGTGTTGAAAAAGTACAGGACGTATACACCTATCTCACCAATGGATACTTTATCACCCTTGATAGGCTCCAATGCATCGATTGAAGGCGCCTCCTTCCCGAAGCACGCGTCGTCGCTGTAGGTTTTGTAGTCGACTTCAGTCATGATTTATATATATATGTATATACGTATGTGTATATTTGAGATAAAGAGTGGTAAACTAATCACGAAAAGATGCTTTATGTTTTAATTATTAGAATAATAAAGGAATAGTATACAGAGACAACACACAAAAAAAAACATCAGTCATGTGGTCCCAAGATTGTAAAACATGTGGGAATTACTGGAATGATGAAAGGTTGCTTTACAAGGTAATCTATCGTTATGTAAATGAATAAATACAATATAGTAAATAATTTACCATTTTACTTTCCACGTTAGCGTTCTCCAGATCTATCCAAGAACAGCTAGGTGGTAACTGTAAAAGTGAGGTTAACAACAGAAGAAAAGTCTGTAGTATATGGTGAGCAGTGTCTCCTTTTTTTTCTGTGAAAGGAACTTGCTCCCACATGAAGGAATTTTTTTCTAGTAAAGATAAATGAGAAAATAAAATTTTTAATATAAAGAAATATTACTATTATTTGTCTTAAGGAATAAATCCTGACAAGTTATGGCAGTATTGATAATTCAACTTATTAGCGAAAAAAAATCTGAAATGAATTGAGAACGCCTATTGTTCTGTTTTTTTAAATGCATAATAGGCGGGGAAACCCTAAGCAGGAGCATCTATATTGTTGTAAACTAAATAAAGAAGAAATGTAAGCCAGAAAATAAAAATAATATAAGGCAAGTTATTGAAGGATAAAGGACATCTGCAACCCCATATTTAAGACTTGGTAGAGCTGCGCAAGAGTTGATACTGTAGTTGGCCATGTTGATATGTCTGATCAACTGCTGCCATGCTCCATAGCCAACGACCCACATAGCCTATATAAGGTGGGTAATCCGCCAGATCCGCTGGATCAAAGGCAACACGCTCCGACTCCACAACCAAATACCGTTGCTGCACGTGGTTCAGGATCTCATCCATTGCGGCAACCTTCTCCCCATCACCTTCTTTAACGAGGACCTCTGCACGTATTTTGTTGAAGACGTCGAGTACACAGTGTGGCGCTGTACGAGGATCCTGTGTGATACCTTGCCACACCTTGAAAAGCACCAAAGCAAGCCCCACCAGATGGCAACGCGTGACATAATTCAAGGCAGCAGAACAGCGCGCGGCAACCTCCACGATACACAGACCCCCCAGGAGGAGTGTTGGAGCTAGGGGCAACCATTCAAGGGATGAGGGGTTAAGACGGCACAGCACTGCAGCAACAACCTCACCACTTCGAAGGGTCTCCTGCTCTAGACGCTCTTGGCGGGGAAGACTTGATTCTGGTGCGTCGTGTAGCCTTTCCAGGGCTGCTGTTGCAAAACTGAGGTGGCGGACAGCCCGCAACCGCAACACGTGAAGTAGGACGGTAAGTAGTGAGAATGGTAGAGCACCTAGCTTATTGCGGTACTTTTGGCGGAATGCCGCGCGAAGCAATCGATCCACAACACGTGTAACCTGCCGGGCTACGAATAGACAACGACACAAAGGAGCTTCAGAGGCTGCGACCACACATTGTTCGTCAATGACACCCGATTGAGATGTTGCAACTCCATAAACAGCTGTATCGATAGCCGTTTCACATTCAAGTTCCAAGAGGCTCAGCATCCACAATCCATTCCATTGCTCTACCTTCTGTCCTGACCAGAGGGCAAGCTCGCGTTGTATAACCTTTAGGACAGCGTGCGGCGGCAGACCGTCAATCTCCGGCTGAAAGCGCTGCTGTAGCCGTTGCCACTGACGTAGCTGCGCGGAGAGAGAGAATTCCTCGCACTTCTTCACAGCGTCGCTTGCTTCACTGAAATCCTCATTGAGACTGCGCGGTGACGGAAGCCTGTCCGGACTAGTCAACGCCCCAGGCAGTCTAAGGGACTTCTGTGGAGTATGCGGGGTCCCAGTAGCATCTGCTAAAGGTTTCTGGCCACCTCGCGGGGTGTGACAAGTTGAATCTGATTTTTCCTGAAGCGGCGACAAAGTCAAAGATAGGTAAATAACATCACTCTTGGCACAAGCAAAGATGTTGTCCAGCCCTGTGTTCTGGAATTCCAATCGAGCCGCAGCTGAATTGAGTGGTGGTGTAGCAAAGATCCACTGAGTAGGGGGGGTCGAGAGCGGATTGGACTGAAAAGGACGAATGTCCCAACTGGTTTCATTGATGCATGCAATGGGACCCGCGCAGCCGTTTGCCTGCATAATGCTCAAAACATGGTGCAGTGTCACGTTTTCTTCTGGGGGTGTATAGGAAATACGAGCTTTAGCGGTTTTTATGATGCAATCCTCAAATGCATCTTTTTCCAAATACACACGACACACCTTGACAATAACATCGCCACTGTTGTCTTCAGCTAAAGCTTGCAACACTTCTGCTTCATACATCACCAAAGTAATAGAGTTGAATAAGCGCATTGTGAATTCTGTGTGTTTCATTGGTGTTGGCGGAAATGTGGAGACCAGATCCTGTCGACATGGAGAAAATTCATAATCTCTCTCAAAAATATGAGGTTGATAGAAACTGCCGAAGACAGGCATTTTTCGTGTAATCTTAACGTTGTAATCGGTTTGAAATCAGTACAAAAAAATACACCTCCTACCTTTTTCAACACAAATACACAATGACTGCTGTGTGACACCCTGTAAGACCTAGTCTAAAGAAAGAGAAGCTTAGGAGTGGGCTTTAGAAAGCATGAGCCCTGAAAGAAGTACGACATAATAATAATAATGCTTACTATATCAATCCTCCTGAATAATACACCCTTTTCTGTGCACTGACCAACGACAACAATAATGAAAAACACCTCTACTCATCTACAACATGTTGTAGGTAGCGAGTCTGTTACAAAATTCATAGGGTTTAAATCGTGACAATACTGTTAGCAACCACAAAAACCACCATAAAACTCTCTACGTCTCTAGAGAATGCCGTCTGATCGTGTACACCCTCACTTAGTGCAGTTGGCATCTTGTAATAGAGGCATGTTACAGGTAAATCAATGAGAGCACCCCTGTCATATTATGAACTCCTATGATAAAATTCGATCCTACAAAAAATAATGATAACAATACCTAGTAGTGGATGTGAACTTTGTCCTTACTCCAGGTCGGTGAACACACACTGAATCCTCCATTATAAAAGTTGTTAGGTCAATTTATGACCTGACAGAATTTTCTCAAGCGGCTTGCAGGACAACAGAGTGCTCAAGTAAATAATCAATGAGCAGCTGTGGAAAAACAATGCGGAATACAGACAACGGCATTGATGATATCACACGAAGTGGAATCCTCTGTGTCTCCGTTTTATCCTCATTACCCCCATGGGTTCTAGTCCCGCTGAAATCGTTACTTTCTTCTTCAGAGCTAATTCTTTCAAGCGCCAGTTCTGGCACTTTCTCTGTGATGGCATAACGCACCACTGCGCCTTCGTTATGGGGCCTCAGCAAATCCTGAGAAGTGGCTATTAATGCCGGATAACCTGCAACGCTCTCACGTCGCAGTCTCTCAGCCTCCTCTTCGCCAATCCAGGGTATGAAAGTTGCCGGCTTGGCGTATATGTAGCCACTGATCGTGGTCTCTGGAGGCGCTATGCCTAATATTTCCAAGTCCCCTGCCATAACACGCTCTTTCTGCGTGGTATCGGAAGATTTTGAGACGGTAAAGTTGTCTTTCACCGGAGTGATAGCATCGCACCCCATACAGCTATGCATAAGGCTCACAGCAAGCTTTTCTCTCCATACTCGCTCGAGATGTTGAGCTGGGGCACAATATTTTAGGGCTTCCATTCGGCGGCGACGGCGGGGGGTGGCCAAGTTCCTAGTGTACTTTCGGGTATACAGCAGTGACGCGGTTTGTTCGGTCATGATAAGCTCACCAAGAAGAACAATGGATGAGTCTGCGCCAGTGGCAACTGTTGCCATAGGCATATCAAGACTGCCGCCCTGGTATGCCGATGCGGATGACTCATCACCTTTGTACCTCAACAACACGCAAGAAAGCGTCTCAACGTCGTCTTTTGGGCACGTGCGTGTTTCAACGAACCGACTGCGTTTGCGAGATTTAGACCCCCCGCGATTCTTGACCAGAGCATCGAGGTCCCCTGCTAAACCGGTTTCACAGCGCCATGTCTCAATGCATTTTTCTGTGTCCTCTATTTTCTTTTGGTCAATATCTTGCATTGCCTCAGTGCAGTTTTCAAGCAAATTTGAGCGCGGCTCCCACGTTTCTCGTTCATCGTCATAGCCTTTCCAATGAACTTTGTACTCTATTGTTCCATCTTCGTCACGGACGCGTCGATCTAATAGACGCTCCACAACATAATAACTCATTTTTTTAAAAACCTAATGCTTCTGCACCACTTGTGTTGCCCTTGATTGCGTGCGTATTGTTTGTGCTCCACTTTATGCTATTGATAAAAATGTTGTAGATAACTGTTTTCAATAATACTGTATTGAATTGTGTGAAATAATGTGGCATACAAAAAGTGCAGATCAGCCAAGAAGGTTCGACATTCTTCTATAGGTGCGAGGTTCTGTTTCTCTAATTCGCAAGGAATCGTCACAGGTAAAGGTAATTATAGAAAGTACTTTTCTGTACTCTCAATAAAAAATTGATACTATAAAAGTTCTACTTTTGCTCCTAACTTCTCAAAAAGCTCCTTCAATTTCTCTGCATCCGACTTAGGCATGTTATTGGCAACCAGGCCAGGGGCCTTCTCTATCGCTTTTTTGGCATCAGCAATGCTAAGATTGGTCACCGTGCGCAGCTCTTTGATCAACTTTATCTTTATTTCTGGCGCGTATTTATCCAACTTGACATCGAAGGTGTTCTTCTCAATCTTTTTCTTCTCCTTTACATGTTCTGCGGCAGTGTCCGTCGCCGCGGCTTCAGGCGTAGCTGTTACTGCCGGTGCCGCTGCCACGGTTACATTGCCACCACCACCACCACCACCACCTAGTCCTTTTAAGAGAGCCTTTTCGTAGAATTCATCACTGTGCCCAAGCTTTTTGAAAATGAGCCGCTGCAGGTCCGAGAGTTCTTTCAATGTGAGTTGCGAGTAGGCTGTTGCAAGCTCTTCAACCTTGGGATTGTTTAGACCTGTGGAACCTGAGGAGGAAAGACGCATTGCGGATTGAGAGAGAATACTGCTTACTAAAATACGACGCATATGGGCAACCTATTCGTAGTTCAATGGGATGAAAATAGTAAGCTTATGGAGGTGTCTAGTGGCTAAACAAAACGTGCATCAAGGGGAAATAAGAAAAATAAATAGGGAATAAAGGAAGGGTTGAGGATATGAAGAAAATACCATGAAGCGAATGAATGTAAAAAATAAGAGAAACATTTATTATTATTATTTATATCTAAAGCGTAGAGTGAGTTGAATAAATTATTGGTCCAAATAAAAGACTATCTACGAAAGCAGTTAATTTACCAACTAAAGATTAAATTCCTTGCATCAACAACAAGCTTGATCCTGACCCTCAGTTCGTGTGCCCCCCCGATGGCTTTGAGAGGTTCCCCTCCATGCAGTAAACATCGGTGCAGGAAGATCAAAGCGGCATTCCTCGTACATACCTGGACACCAACTCAGAAGATGTGTATAAAAGGTGTAATTTTGAGCATTACGCTCTCGGTATAGACGCTTCGTGTAGGACTGCTGCACACTTTCTTCCGAAATACACAACTGGGTGCCATTGATAAGACGCAGCTCCTGCAACGTCCGGATAATATCAGCCTGCGTCATGCATGTTGCCTGCACAAGGTAGTCAATGGTAGTGCAATGCCCCTCCTCCATGGCGCGTGATAAAGCTAGTAGCACCGTGTCAGACCAGTACCCCAAATATAGTTTTTTTCCGAGGTCGCTAAGAGGTTTTTCAGGTGTTCCGATTTTTCCCTCTCGCCTAGATAATTCGTAACTTAACTCGATAAGGAAACGACCTATGCCACGACTTTGGAACTGAGGGAGTACAAGAATACACGACAGGTTATATAGCTCTGGAGTTTGCTTTTCTTTACTGAAGTACCCCAACACCTCTAGACCGTGCGGTTGGATTGCACAGATCACATAAAAGAGAAATGGTGTCATGTCGTGATCTAAAGCTTTGTGCTCTAGGAATAGTTTGGACAGAAGAGCGAGGTGCTGACAAAACACAGGCTCCAGCTTCCCATCGATCTCGAGAACAACAAGAAGTCGTACGGGATCACGATAAATTTCGTTGCCAGGCGGATGCCGTAAGCAAACCGTTTTAATGTGACGTATAACTGCTTCATGATCCGTGTAGGGGCTCAAACAGAAGGGGCAGATGTGCAATGTAAGAGACTTTACGACCACTGCGGTGCGTGCGGTCACAGAGGACGAAGTTCCAGATGGATCCGAGGCTGCTGAAGCCGTGGGTCGCAGCTGCAACTCTGTGTTACCTGAGAAGTACTGCGTGCATGCTTGGAGACGTTGGTGAACTACCGAGCGAGCGAGATGATACGGGCTGAAGTACCATGCCTCCACTTCATAGGGTCCCATGCAGATGGAATGGGTATTCTTAGTACGGGAAAAGAATGAACTGTCTTTACGTGCCCTGAAGGTGGAAATCTTCACTGCGTGCTGCTGAGTATCGCCACCCTTGGCGGTCGAGGTGGCCGCGGTGCTCAGCGTAAGGTTGGGACTAGTGTTCATTCCCTGCTGTTCCATCGCCTTCTCGGCCGCCACACTCTGCCGACGTGTTACAACGCCACCACCGCCGGATGCCTTGGTTTGCTGTAGGTGGTGCACGCGGCCTTGGTGACGCTCCTTCATCTCGCTCGCCTGAAGCCAGCGGTCCATTCGGCTGTCTTGATCGACATATCTAACATAATATAGAAATTCACCAGTTTCAGCTTCAACCCCTACCTCGATAACGATAGCCGCATGAAATGTACCGTTAAGGAGTCCGTACACTTTCTGCTTGGCTTCATACACTGGCGCAGTAGACATTCAACACAAACCACTACTCCTGTGTGTCTAATATATTTAGCTATGCAAAGAAAGGAGCAAAGCAAACAAATATATAGATAATATACAAAGTTAGCCACGACTTTATGATAGCTCCATCATTTTTCACATTGTCGTTGTTATTGATATATTGTTCAGTTTTTCATTTAACTGAGTTTTAAAGTAATGAAAAACAAAACAGCCCCTAGCCAATTTCCTATCGATTCATATCAACCGAGCGACTCGAATAAAACGCTTTAAAATATTATGCCAACCCAAAAAATAACGCTGTACGCTAGCAATGCAATGTTTACTTAGTACATTATATGATTATATGATGCATGCTATTTTATTAAGAAAATTATTATTACTCCTTTTTAGATATATTTGTCTATAATTACATATATATTTATTTTCTTCCTATATTCATTCGACGTTATGTTACAATCAACGTTTAACGGATTTAATTTAGCACGAAACTTTTTCAATTACTTCCATTTTGTAGATTAACTCTACGATGCAATCATTTTTCTCCGATTTCTCTGTACATAATCTGGTTCATTGCAGAGAGAAAAACATCGGTGTCAACGCGTGTCACCAGCTTACAGTTACGCCAACGCTTCTTTTTTGCCATTGATTCATCGGTACCATACCAATCGAGACAAATAGCACCACGTGTCTCTCGGCCGTGCAACTCGACAGTACAATAGGTCGTGAAGCTGTCTAGGATAGACTCTGGGTGCAACATGGCCACCATCGCTACCGGGTCTGGAATAACGCAGGTGACGTCCTGAGTGACCTCTGCATCGCCAATGTCGGCCTTTGTCCCGTCTTCTAACGGACGTGTGAAGTCCTCGAGACGCCTGAATATTTTCTCAATAAACTCTTGGGTGGCGTTTTTCGGTTTTGACGAGCCTCGACCAATCCATTCATCAAAAAAGGGCCAACTCATGGGGCACTGGACCGTGAGTTCCCATGAGATTAGTTGAATCGGCGCCATACCCCTTTGATTAAATACAACATATGCAGCCTCTGGATCGCAATGAATATTGAACTCAGCTGCCATATTTGAGTTACCTTTAGCCTCACTGGCGCCTCCCATAACCGTAATAGCCGGGTTGGTGTCGTTCCCAAGCACGTGAAAAGCTTCCGAATCCAGGCGAAGCGCAATCGCAATATTAGTAAGTGGGCCAAGACACACCAACTGATAGACCTCGTCTTCTTTTTTTTCAATATCTCTCAAAATCTGTGTCAAGGCCAGTGCAGCATGGAGCTTGGACTGCTTCTCGACACGTTTAGAATTTGGGATATCCGCGTCACCAAAGCCATCATTTCCGAAGCCACCCCATATCGTAGTTTCACGCTCGCCAAGAAGAGGCCTGTCTGCACCTTTAAACAGCGGGATATCAATATCGTAGAGATCAAGGATTTTGCCAAGATTTTGCATTCCTTGATCAACATCGACGTTGCCCCAAACAGCTGTGATGGCAAGAACCTCGGTATTAGGGTCAGACAAAGCCGCCATGATGGCAACGGCATCGTCGCCGCCGCAGTCAGTGTCGATGATAATCTTTCTCTTTAACATTGTGTAATGATAACTGCAATATCTTGAACACTGAATGGAATGAATGACTCTTAGTAGACAAAGTTGTAACTCGGATATAAATAGTGTATCACTTTCCCTTAGATTAAAACTCCACTATGCCAAGATCCGATACAACTCAGGAAGAAATTTAGCTGATATAAAATGTAATGAAGTATATTTGATTATAAATATTAGCCGGCAGCACAGCCTAGACGAAAAAGAAAATAAACATGAGGATTGATACTCGTTAATCTATGTTTTTGAATCTAATTACCAATCAACCTAGCAGCAATAGGCGTTAAAATTGCTACATATCAAACTCAAATACTAGATTCTTCACTTAGTGAGTCCTTTATGTTGTGATTCTAAGCCATGGTATCGGTAATGGTGATAAAATTTTTCTCTTGGAAAATCTCCGCCATATCTCTCCAACAAGTACCCACCATTATGCGAATTCGAGTAGGCGCGTCTCTGGGTTGGTGCTGCGGTCGCTGATGCGCCTCGACGTTTTAATCTATTTGCACTCATGCGCATTTTTGCGATATCGGCCATCAGCCGCTCATAGGTAGTTTGGGATGGTACCGTTTTGGGTGTCGATGTGGTGTCCGCCACTGTTGCGCTCTGAACGTTGGAGCGCAGAGAATTGGTCTGCAAGTTTGAAACAGCGACATTGAATGCAGCCTGTGATTTTTCATAGGCTTGGTTTATACGCTTAACAGCTTCAGAAACCTGGGCTCGACGCCGTTCAGTCTCGACAATGGTCATATCCCCACCTGCGCCACCGTAAGCAGCGGATTGAGTAATGGTAAAGGCGGTGTAATCCCCATTGCGCATAAGGCCAAGGTCGCGCCGCCCAATATGATGGAGACTACAAGTGATGTTGGTAAGCAACTTGAAAATGTCATAGTCGGATAATACAAATAGCTTGCAAACTTGATCCCGAACGATTTCATCTACTTCTAGGTACCTGGTCCCCTCGTCATTAGGTATTCTTTCTTGTGCTTCAGATTCGAGCTTTTTCCACTCGTGCACCGAAATTGGTGGCCGATTTGCTGCTAATAGCACTGACGATTGTAGGGGTGGCGCAGAGACAGAGACAGAGGCTGAAGGTGGTGGAAGTGGAACGGAGGAAGGTGGCGGCGCAGGGACAGAGGCTCGCGGTGGCGGCGCGGACACAGAGGAAAGC